CTTTCGGTCGGGATTACCGTGCCAGTTTGCGTCCAAGAAGGCAAGTTGTCCACCATGAATTCCAGATATTTTGTTTTTCTAAGTCACTTCAAAAGTCTACGACACGTTTCCGAGCGCCCTGCAAGGCTTAAAATGATTTGTATTAAAAAAAAAATACATTTAAGGTGGTGCATTAAGTTTTCACAAAGGATCTCAAAAAAGCTTTTGTTTTTACTTTATGTTTTCTTGAATTAAACAGCGCAAAAAAGTTACGTAAGGAAGAGACAACAGGAAGGATAGAGCGCTGACTCACAACTGAGGTTTTAATAATGATGTAGTGAAAGAGAAGGAAGGTGTCAAGTGCTGTAATATTATTAAATTAAAGAAGGTTACAATTATTAACCTCTTTCTAAGGGCCAAATTAACGGAATGACAATATCCATTTCTAAGTAACCCAAGTGAATATATCTACGTACAATTATTCAGAAGTGAACTACAAAGTTGTCGGTGACCCAACGGTTACTGGTTGTCACAGCCAGAAAAAAGAAGAAGAATCACGATGTCGACGGTGATCCCAAGGGCGTTGGCTTCCACAGAAATGAAAATTGAGAAGGAAAAAGAAGAAGAAAACAGAAATAAAAATAATTTAGGGACTAAAATTCAAAAATTGGAGCTCTTTCGCCGTCAGAGCAATCGAAGGTGTACTTATGCAGGCTAGGCCCTTATTCGCGATCTTACACGCCTCGTACTTTATGTTGTGCCATCTGTAAAGAACAGTGTAAACCAGACTTTTTTTTTTTTTCCTCTTTATGCTTGCAACCAAAAAGCAGGATTTTTTAATATTTGTTTTTCTAAATGCCTATATCTAAAGACACCTTTGTGAAATGTTTGCATAATTGCATGCGGTCCATTAATTTATTCGTAGAAATTTTTTATGCCAGAGTAATACTTGGAAAGACCCTGTAAATACGCACAATGGACACTCAACACTCGGACACTTCCAAAAGTTGGACCGTCCAAGTGAGCAACAGCGTGCAAAAGTTGGGGGACACTTCGTCGTGTTGTCCAGACACGTGCAAGTTTACAGCTTCGCGATTGTAATACAAACTCCATCTTTGGGCCGACAGAATCCGGCAGGAACCCTCGCACACTGCCCTGTGCCTAAGCTTCTGTTAGAAGAGGCGCTGGACAAATGGTGCAAACGCCCCGCACTCTTGCGGTGCGTTGGCCTCGCTTGCACCGAGTACCGAACGAGGGGTAAGCTCCGCTATTTTTGGTGCACATGCATTCTTTTTATGCCAAGGTTCTCCATTCACGACAGATTTGGCAATAGTTTGTATACTCCAAACAGCTTTGCTAAAAACCGAGTCAGTCTCACTCCAAAACAAATTTTTTTTTTTTTTTACCTTTCGGAATGATTATAGTGAGGAGCCACATGGATCCTTGCACAATACTAATTGTTTAGAGCTGTTTCAAAAGAGCACGGCACTGCCTTTGTGGAGATGCAACGCAGGTTACGCTAAACACATCCTTTTCTCCCAGCAGTATGCCCACACAAATTAAAAAGAAACAATCTTGGCCAGTCTACAAATATAAAATTCTTGGCCTTTGCTCAGAGCTGCTGGCTGGTATCAATGCCTGTGTGGCAGTATGTAAAATTATAGCTGTAAGCAAGCAGTTTGAACCGACCATATCACTTCTTGTAAAGGACATAAGCAAAGGAAAAAAAAAAAACTGTTTTTAAACAGCCTAGATGGGAAAGGATGTCGTAGAACAAATTTACAACGAAAAAAACAAAAAAACTTTGAGCTATTTACGGCACAAAACAAATTTGCAGCTGGCACAAGAGCCTGTGAGAAAGTGCTTGCACTCTTTCAGGTGCTTCCTACGGTCTTATTAATTTTTGTTTAAAGTTCAACAAAAAATCTAAGATTAATAAGCAACTTTTAGAGCCTACACAAAGCTTCCAAAAGACCGCAAGCACCACGTGATAGACCTGTGCGCCGGTCAGAAATCGCGCCGGAGTATTTCCTTTTGGCGATTCCGGCGTACTTCTGGCGGCGGCAGCGCACAGGTTTAGCGGCGGCTTTTGCGGCCGCCAACTACAACTTTGTTTTGCACCGTAGATAAGTCCTTTAAAAAAACATAGTGTTTGAACAAGGCCATTCTTGCAGGATACTGACGCGCATGCGCCGCTGTGCCTCTCCCCTTGATGGCAAAATATGGCGAGCGAAAATTGCTCGCCAAAAGCTGAAAAATAGACTATTGTAGTTAGTTGCATATCATACTGTATCATGCGAAAGGGTTGTTGTGGAAAGCTTTTTGTAGTGAACACGGCCACACAAGGCAAAAAAACCTCCAACTCACAACGGTCAAAGAAAACAAAAAAACAAAAAAAAACAATGTAAGGTTTTATTTTTGTGTAGGAGCATGTTAAAGTAAATATCGACAGGAAACAATAAGCCGAAAAATATTTACTGTTTTTTTTTCTTTCCTTTTGATGCATTGCGGTCTGGTGCAGTGGATCTTTGTTTTCAACTTAGATACATTTAATAAAATATTTACCATTACAATTAAACAAAGATATATCACTGTGAGTGAAACGTATCTTAGTTTAATTGCCGGGTACAATTTTCAGGTGTATAATACGCTTTGGGACAGCACAGGATTTCGGGGTGTGCGCGTTGGTGAATTTCCCTTAATACTTATCTGTTGAGTCGTGAAAATACTGTCCTCCTCTTACTCCCCTCCCGTCCCCCCTTCCGCCCCCCCCCCCCCCCCCCCCCCCCCCCGGGTCAGGGTGTCCCGCATTCCACCGGCCGGAAGGTGGTCACCCAAGTTTCCCTTTCTGTATACAAACACCTGAGAGGTGGTGTTTTCTACTTAATCTGAAAAAGTATTTTGTTTTCTTTTGTCCTTTTTTTTTTTTTTTAGATTCAAGGGGGGTGTCCAGGAAAACTAGGGGGGGTCTCAACCACCCCCTAAAGGGGGAGGGGGGGGGGGTCTAGGGAAATACCTCGGCGAGACGCTGGTACGTCGTTCAACTCGCAGCCAAGTCAATCCAAGAGCAAATCCAAGAGCGAGAGACAGACGTACTTCTCCACGCGGGCCTAAGGAGCGGGAGTTTCCAATGTGAAGCGGTAATGACCCCGACTACATTACGTGCTGTGTCGTAAATATTGCAAAAGTTTTGTTTTTTCGCGGAAAATTTGTTTTCTGACATGCTTGTCCCAATTTTGCTGTTTAAAAAAAAAAACATTTTTTTTTTCTTTGCAGCTATTCTTTAATTACTCTCTTGGGAAGCTGGCTTAAAATCGTCATGTGGTAGTCACCGGGATGTTTTATAGAATTGCGTTATATTCGAATAGTAGTTTCGAAGAATACGTAATTCAATATTCGCTTCGAGGTGAACTGCGATATTCGTACTTTTCGAAGTGTTGATCGCCGCGGGTTAGCGCCGTTGAGTGCGCTTCTCGCCAAACACCTGTGCACTGCGGCGAAGCAATACCCGCACAGCTCGCGTGCTCCACGGGTATAGCTTCCCCACGGTGCACCACTGCTCGGCGAGAAGCGCACTCAACGGGGCGGGGCTAACGCGCCGATTATGCAAATATGTTATACACGGGGACAACTTTTTCTGGCCTTTCCGAAGAAGCGAAGACCGTGCGAGCACAGCTGTGATCGGCGCTCTATGTGCGGGAGCGCACAGGTACCCATAGCTTCGGTCTCGTTGCCAAGAAAAGTCGCCTCCAGGTATACCAATATTTACAAGTCCCCAGCCGAGCGTGGGATCTCCTCAGCCCAGCATTTTCGTCGCGTCATGATGCGAGCAAATCACGCGCCATACGCAAGAAACACTAAAAATGGTACCGGCCAAAAACCTTTTTTTAAAACATTTTTTTTTCTTGAAGATTTGATTTAGAATTAAAAATACTTGCATAGAGCACAGATTTATGAATCCCCTCGAGTAGGATAGCTGTGACAAGTCTGTCGTTTACAAGCCACAGTTCATAAATATACTTGAAAGTATAAAAAAGCGAGGACGGGAACAGGACATCTTTCATAAATATACCTAGTTATCTTAAGAATAATGACTTCGAAGTGGCCAAGATAAAGGTTAGAAACAACCTTCACGAGTTCAGCTGAAGTTTCGTTTAAGCATGGTGCACAGTAGTGAAAGTCTTGTAGAAACTATTCAATGTTTGATTCGAAGATATTCGGCCAAAACCACTACTCGCTTTGACTTTGTTTCAAACCTGAAGTCCTCTATTCGCACATGCCTAATGTTTTCATGTTATCCTTGATAGAGGCAGCGGCTAGCTTGTCTGCCCCTTCACTACCGAGAATTCCTACATGGCTTGGTACCCCGCAGAGTTGAATATCAATTCCAGGTAGGAAAGCACGGTGCACCTTTACACACACTTGTTGTGCAAGCCGGTTCTTTGTCGGTAAGAGAGCAAACCGAGAAAAGGGCACTCTGAGAGTCAGCAAACAATAGCTTTGATCACATGATTCTCTAGATACGATCAAGGGCCATCATTATAGTACCATAAAGCTCAGCAGTAAAAGTACTTGCAATGCTATTGATATGCCTTGCTTTTTTGTAATGTGAAAAAAACTGCAGAACCTACATAGGATGAGGTTTTAGCACCATCGGTATAAAATTGTAGGTAATCATGATATTTCTCCAGCAATGCTACAAACTCCTGCTGAATCACAAGAGGTTAGACAGATTTCTTATGAAATTTTACTGGACTCCTGGAAGGAATGCTCTCGACTCTTGTAATCAAGTTATTCTCGGAGATTGTAAGCTGCAGGGAAGTTGAAATACATTGAAGCTGAAAGCTTAATGGTCGCACAATGCTCGCCATGTTTTCAAAAAGTCGTAAGAAGCAAGCAACGCCTCAGCAGCACCCAAAACAAAGCGAGACAAAATCGACACTAACCAAACGATTGTTGTATATGCACAAGCAACGCCTCAGCAGCACCCAAAACAAAGTGAGACAAAACTGACACTAACCAAACGATTGTATACGATTTTATAGAAACAAAACCAAGCAAAATGCAACAGTGGTTCCAGAGGCGGACTGTTACGTGGCGACAGACGCCATGTAAGCGTCGTAGCCCGCCTTCTGGTATTCTTGAGCAGCCGCCGCAGGGTCCTCGCTCTTGGTGATGCCCCTCCCCACAATGATGACGTCGGCGCCACGCTCGCTGACCGCGGTGGACGGAGAGCAGTACTGCTGACCGAGCGCGTCTCCGGCCGTGCCCATCTGGACGCCTGCGTCGCAACGGAGACAATGACGGTTAGCACCGATTGTCGGACGAGTCGGTGCAGAATTTTAGGAATATGTGGTGGCGCTCGAAGACACGAACAAAAGGAGAGCAGTGCACCACTACTGCACGGTGGCGTCAAGTTTTCTTCCTTTTGTCCTTGTCTCCGAGCGCTACAACATATTCTAAGATACGACGATAAGTCTGAATATCCGCGTCACAAGGGCAGGTACGATTGTTGGTGGGGTTGCCGCAAACTTTTATCGACTCGTTTGCCGAACCTCCAAACTTCTGGCGGACGCGATGACGAAGGATTGCATTGTGGATAGGATGGAGGCAGCTTAACCTTCTGTATCGGGCAATCGCAGAATAAGAAATTGGAACTGGCAAAGAAAAAACACTGGTCAAGAAGGAATGAATTATGATGGCTGAACTGAATTATGATTGCGAACTAAATCTGAATCTAGCCAGAAACGAAGAAAAAAGAAATCTCTCTTTACAGTTCTTTTATATCCTTTTATTAGTCATCTAAAATTGTTTGTGCTTTCTACTGCTTTGAGTACGGAGGCAGTATTGCAATGACTATCGGTCGTCAGCAAAGTTGTCGAGAAATTCAACACATTCGACGGCGTTCTTCCAAGAACCAGAAGCTCAAATTCTTGAACAGTGTCGACCGACTTCTACGGCGCATGCGCCCAATATATCGTAATACCCTGAGATAGCCCACCTAAAATAGAAAGCAAGTTGGAAGAAATTATGCAATAGGCTAACTTTCAGTGAGCGATAGAAAAAATGCTAGTTTTAGATTTTGTTATTTGCGAAACTTGTTATCGCTCGAAGGGGCTGACAGACCAAAGACTGTCCTTCCCCCCAGTCATCAATGTTTGCTTCTCTCTTGCTGTGGCTAAGTAACACCATTTCTGTCAAGGTCACTATTGGCTAGTGCCCTGCAATCACTAGAACTGGGCTATCTTTCTATGCTTTTTTGAAAAATAGCAAATCATGCCGAAAATAGGTGTGGGCTATTTTTCGGGGGTGGGGTGGGGCGCATATCTCGGAATGTTACAGTACATGTATTTTTCTTTCACTTTGCAATGAAAGTTTGAAAAAGATGAACCAGGTCAGACTTGGACTTCAGCAGATCTGCGACGTCCATAGTTGTCGGTGGAACAATTGTCACAAGGCAAGAGTCGATCGTTTGGACGCCATATTTAAATCAAGCTTAAACGAGGCAGTGATGAAAGTGGCAGTTGGCCTTTTGTAGCAGGCAAAATATTGATTTAGAGCAGCCACTGACTTTTTTTGAGCACATGCCAACATCTGTTAGCACATCACTTAAAAATGAATAAGTGATTGCATCGCTAAATGCCTTCATCTTTGATAATAATTGAGGGTTCCTCTTTGACACTAAAGCATATTACTTAACTTTTGTCCCAAGAATAGATCGGGCACAAAAGGAACACAGAGCCTTTTTTTCGAAATAAGGCTGAGGTCGGAGTAGGTTTCATTTACAATGGGTATTACAAAAACAATGTTCAAAAAGAATCATAGTGGAACGCTTCAGTTGTGATAAAGATTCTCTACCCCTGTCTCCTTTACATTTGGTAGTTTACTTAGCCTACAAATATAACTTCCGTAAAATGCCAGCCAAACCCAGCCTGGGTTTGGCTGGCAGACCTGCGTTTCTCTACTTTTCTCGACACAGCTCTCTAAAGCTAGAAGTCAATGTATAACCAAGACCAAAAATGGTAGACCTGTAATAGTACCAAACATAATTTCCGAGCTTGTCATGATGCTAACCCAGGCACTCCCCCAAGTCAGCCGCCGCTCTTAGCACTCCGGTGATTAGCGGTGAAGCTCGACGTGTGGTCCCGTGACTTGCGCTTTTAGTATGCGTTTTCGTGGTTGTAAGTGCCCGAGCTTTCTAACTGTGCTGGAATGAAATATGTGAAGTGGAGATGCTGCAAAAAACGTCTATAATATACGGAACACCCGTGACTAGGAACAAAAAAATTGTGCTTGTGTGTTCTCCACTTTATGTTCCAAGTCTCGAGCGTTCAAGATGATGAAAGTTCATCAGCTTGCCTTTACCTTCTCAGCTATTAAAACATACATATTTGTACCGTGTTCTTTTCCTCCCACTTCTCCGAACACTGTGGCCAACCAATAATAATGTATCTATTTTTTTTTTCTTTTGCTTTGCCCATCTCGGTGCAAGTGTGGCGCGAGTCTCGGCGGAAATGCAATTGTGGCGCGAGATGTGGCGGACTTCCTTTCGCGACGCAATTTTACGCAGAACTTCCGTCGCCGACGAGGGGACGAATGGGGTCGTTAGAGTCTCCTGTTTCTAAAGCTACAATAATTTTGTAACTAAGGGTTGCATCATTCAGCGCTGCAGACACTACTATACTACAGTTAAAAATTCAGTTATTAGATTAAGGTTTCAACCACATTCAGTCAATGTCAAGATGGCCTCGGAAAATATGGAACAAACTCTCTCCACAAATGACTTCGGGAAATATGGAACATTTCATTTTAATTCTTGGAACTACAGCCTCAAGAAGTATATGTGCAGAATGTCTTGCTGTTTATTTCTTATCAGCAAAGTGACAAAAGATATCAGCGCTGCCACCTCCATGCAGATTGTATGCAATCAAGTCGATGATGATGATTGGGGTTTAATGGCGCAAGAGCGACTTTGGCTATATTGCGCCAGACAAAGTAATCAAGTCGAGGAGGCAGACGATGATGTTGCGTGGAAGCCACCATCGTGGGGAGATGACAGATGGTACCATCTGTGATTTGCAATGTCAAGTGGTCAGCTCATCAACCAGCTAAATAGGCTATGCAAAGGCGGTAAATTTGTTTACGTACGCATAAGAGTATCACAAACATGTTGCAGCAATTGCTTACTAGCTAAAGTTGGTGATAAAAGAACAAAACCGCTTACTTTCCCCCCTGGTAACTTAGTTCTAATCCAATTCAATACCTCTTGACTACAGGCGTCCATCTCACACTTTTTGATAACACGTAAAGCTTATTGCAGGTTAAGAAAAGCAGATCAAGCACCTCCCACAAGGCTCTCCATTCTTTCCCCTTTAGCAGAGCAGATGCTGAAGAGGAGACAGCCACCAACCACGGCTCCTCCTGCTGCTCTAGACCTGCAACAGGCTGAGCGCAAGTTCGTCTGCTTCTTGCACAGCAGTTGCAATGACGTCAGGACGCTGAGCTCTTATTGGCTGATTAAATAAAATAGTGAATAAACCTCAAGGCGTCCAGCATTGAAATCTACCCACTATCCTTTCAACACCGCAACGTCACCGCAACTCCTGCGCAAGAAGCAGACGGCTTTCTCTCCGCGTAAAACAACATGCGACAAATGAGAGTCGCAAAACAAAGAGCCTACCTGGGGTCATTAGGACAAAGTTGGGCTTGTCGGACACTCTGGACTGACTCACGAAGCCCAGCACAAAATCGGGAACATCTTCACCCATCTTCACAGAGGCTGCAAAATGAAAAGAAGTTCACACTTGTCTCCATGGCATGCAGGAGCCATTGATGATGGAAGGAAATACATGGCCGAAGCGGCGAAGAGGGACACGGAAGCATATGAGAAAACGATCGTAGGAACAGAGCGCTTCTCCATACTTCTAGACGATTTGCGTTTACTCGTACCCCAGTTAAGCCCAGCGTGGCATTGCCTAGTCAGTCTTGCCCTAGCTCGATGCTTGAACATTCCAGACCAGATGTTTGAGATGTACAGAGTGCGGAGAAAACGAGGATGATAATCTAATCATCCGCGTTTCACCACCACGAGCTTTGTGCCTGCTGCTGGAGCGGTAGCTTTGCTGCACCCCTTCCCGTTCCTTACGTGCTTCAAGTCATTCTAAAACTGAACTATTTAGTGGTTTTCGATGACGCTCAGAAAGTCTCTAATTGAAACCATATGACATTTTACTCAATTATCCGATTTATAAACATTTTTGAAACAATGATGCCTCGTTAACGTGGACACCTCCGTTCCCCCCAAAAATCGTCCATGATGCGAGTTGTCCATAATAATGAGACAAAAATGAAAGTCTCCGAAAATTGTGTCCACACGGCGCGGTATCCATATTAATGAGACGTGACTGTATTGTGTTTGATAGGTGGCAGAACCTACAACCTCCATAAAAGATAACCACGCGTTCCACAGCGCGCTCCCTCCGTCTGAGGAAACTGTTGCGAGTCTTCGGGCAAGCTTCTCAGTCAAAAGGGTTAACAACCGCCTGATCTACCTAATACGCAATTTCTCATTTGTATCAGCACAACAAAAAGCTTGAAGGATGGCTAAGCTCCGGCTTTAAAGGGGTACTCCACCGATTTTTTTAGCTACCTCAACTAACTATATTTTCTGACTCCCCGGCCTTTAGCCTTTCCGGTATGCTATTTAGCATCGCGAAATTCATAATAGGTATTGTGAAATTGGCAAATGAAAATGGTGCAAAAACCAATATTCAAATATTCGCACATTTTTCAGTGCCGCGACGTCAGTGGCAGGCAGGCTTGCCAGTCGAAAAAGTAGTCTAAAAATAGAATATGCCAATCATTTGTTCCGTGCTGGAGCGCGGATACGGGAGCGAGCTTCCAAAGCACTCATTTGACACCAAGAAACTGCTTCAAATCCGTTGGGAACAACTTCTGTAGTCCAAAAAGTTAACCCCTGCCTTCCACTGACGTCACTTTGTTGTTGTTGCCAGTAGAGACTTTCAGTTTGAAAAACATAGTGAAGACCAAAACTGTAAATTCAATAACTTTGCGAAAAAACAATATTTTGACCTAGGTAATACTTGGGATACTATTTTAGCAATGTTTGTTGGCTAGTTTAGCAAACTTTCAAGCAAATCGGAGACAATGAAAAAAACGGTGGAGTACCCCTTTAACTTAATGCGTAGCGTTATCGGGCCCCGTTCGCGTCGCCTTCTCATTCGCTTCTCATGCTCTTCCTGCCAGTGAGCAGGAAGTGCGGCGGACATGGCCTAATCAGTAGAGTGTCTGGCTCGTAACCAAAGGTCGTGGGTTCGAACCCCGACTAAAATTCTTCAAATATTCCTTAAAAGCAAAATAAATACTTCATCAAGTGAAATCCTTCGAGACATGTGAGGACCTTTAATTCGCATTACATGTCACTTCTTTTAATCACTTCCAATCCACGCGTTATGCCACATTTCACGCGAGCATTGTGGGCTATCCGGAACTCCTGCGCAAGGTCATGTTGCTGTGACGTCCTGATCCGATAGATCAATCAGGATTTTCCCGTCGCAACACCGCCGATGCCGAATGTTTTGCGGCCAGATTGATATGAATGGCAGTACACCAAGCAGGTTTGGCGCGCTGTAAACATTTGACGACCCAAGGACCTGCTGCACGGATTCCTCGCAACTTCCCCCGACAACAAAAGTCGACCTCACCTTCGGTGTATTCCTTACTGCCGAGCGATCCAGCGGAGCTCATCTCCGCTACAATTACGCAGCCCTGATCTGGTTGACTCGCCTAGAACGAAGGACACAAGCCTGTCAATGTCTCACATGACCGCAAAACATTGTTGAGGTTTAAAAGATTCTAATGGAGCGAGATAAAAGAAAATATTAGCTTCTCGAAGGAACGCGCATTATGATAAAAGGGACCCAACACTTTTCTTTGTACCCATTCCTCTCGGCTAGTGCTCGTCATCGGAGCTCAAACGTCAATTCAAACGTGCCGTTGTGCGACTTGTGCGCAGCGCTATCGCTTCCAGGGGCAGCGGAAGATAGCTCTTTCAAATGCCAAGTAGGCACTGGCAAGACGGCAAAAACAAAATGTTTTCCTTTACAATTGAAAACGAGCGCGTTGGTTAATGGATACAAAACTTGAAAGTATGAAACAGCGAGGACAAGGACGGGAACAGGACATCTTTCATTAGCAACAACATAGAATGGCACAACGATAAGACCGCCCCCAAGGGTCTCAAAGTTTTCAAAGAGGGCAAGGAAATAATTGTTATAAAGGAAAGGGAATACACTAAATATGAAAGTTCTGGCGTCACGACGAGGTATCATTAATTTAGTTATCTCCGATTAATAAGAATTCAACCTTTGTCATTGTCGGTGATAATGAAGATTCCTTTGCCACCAATAAAGCCAGGACCCGGTAGCGCCAAATGTCAAATATTAAAGATTCTTTTGAAGGGCATATCACTTTTTTAAAATTATTATTGTCAATTTCAATTTTAAAATTTTTTATAATGCATGGAATGCAGTGTCTAGGGACTGATCGTTTAAATTTGTTCAGAAGTCTAAACATCTATTTCAAGGTGTGTAAAAAAAAGCATATCCTCCATTATTTTCCTCGCTAAACATTGCAGGAAATTCAATGCTAAGCGACTTCACACGGCGTCGTTTTCCCCGCTAAAGTTTTGGGGAAGATGCACACACGCACAGACAAATTTCTAAAATTAGAAAGCTCCACTAAAAAGGTTGCACGATTAAAAAAGAAAAATCCTAGATTCCTCTAGAGATAAAGAAACAGATGTGCGACGAACCTGCTTAAGGGCAGTGAGTACGGCGGGGCCAGGAAAAGCGTGAACCGTCACCAGGTCAGCCCAAGTCTGGATCGCATACTTGCCGTGGGTGTACTGCTGCTGCACCGTGCTTCCGATGTCGGCAAACTTCCTGTCGCATGGCCGGGATGAAGACGGGGCTACAATCACTGTTATCCCCCTTCGGTTCTTGCCGTCAACATGGATACTGTTTAAAGGAGAGCTCCGGGGAAAACTCGAGTTACTGATTAGCTTGAAAATAGGCTTGACACCTTAATGGACGCCTCTGAACTCGTAACCCGAATTGTGAGTAACAATAGGTAATTTCTTTTTGCAAAGCCATCAAAGTATCAGATTTTGTATGAGAGGCTCAATGGGCAACGCTGAAGACGGGCCCGTCAGATGGAAAACGGGGCAATATGGGACCATTACAGCTTGCTCCCCGACGAATTCCGAGAAGTATGACGGTGTTAAACGGATGCCGGTTAAGCTCGTGCCAGCCAAACGAAAGAAATGTGCGCAAAATACCGCGTTTTCTACACGTTATACAATTTGAACGTTGGCTTCAGCATCACCTTAATTTGTCATTTTCTCAACAGTCATTCTGAATTCAGGGGTCACTAAATAGCGTGCAGGAAAGAGCAAGGCCTGAAGCAGTCTGAAAATGTGCTTAGTTTGGGTAGCTTAATGAACCACCAGATCTCCCCCTTTAAAGGCTGACAAACACGTCTGCATTAAAGTGTGACCAACCGCGCCATGCTCACTTGTGACCGCTTACGAGAGAGAGATCACACCGTCGCCATCTATCAAGCAGTTCTGAACTCCGGGCATATATTTTCAAATTATTTTTATGCATTTCTCTTCGACTATGGGCTTCAGATGATTTTGACCATGTTATAAACAATTATTTCTCATAAGTTTGATCTTGCAATTACCGCGAAACCTCCGGTCTAGTCATACGCAGACCAGAAGGGTTCCACGGCTACCCGACAGATGGTGCCACCGTGTTTTCTCGTAGTCAGCATTCACAACGCACTTGGTGACAGACAAACACAGATGCGTGAACCAGACTCATTACATCAGGCTGTATACCGAACATAAAATAAATAGAAGATGCGGCCCAGAAAAAAATTATTTAATTAGGCGTGCCTCTATATACTCTTGCACACAGAACACATTACGAATAACCTGTGCACATGCGTGTGCGAGTGGCGTCACGCAACATCGCAGGGTCACGTGACTCTTTGACATCACGACGTCACAACGTCCTAGATCCTCCCTCCCTCACCTGTCTTCCATGATGAGGAATGTGTGTTTCCGAGCCAGGTCCTTGAGCCTTGCCGGGAACTCGGGGCTGAAGTCCTCCAAGATGTCGACGTGCGTCTTGAAGATGCAGATGTGGGGGCCCAGGACGTCCGCAAGCTGCACGGACGCGACGGAAGCAAACCCAAAACAGGAGGTTGGAACGAGCGCTAATCTGATGAAAGTTCCCCGGCAGATTTTAGGAGGACAACAACATGGATGGATGCAGACGGCTGTACGCTTTGTCATGGGCTCTGCTCTGCCTAGCGCTCATCTTTTGAAACCCCTTTTTTTTCTGCAGGAGGGAACGGCGCCGAGGACTAACGCAAAGACATAGATAAGCTGGAAAAAAAAAGATGCCTCATTCCCTTTCGGCCCATCTTTGTCCCTGCGTTTACTCGGCGCCGTCTGCTCACATGCGGTGAACTGACTGGCCCAAACCACCACTTTCTCCCCTCTTTTTATACTTGACCTCTTAGGAGCTAACACTCCAGAGCAATATTATGTTCTTTCTATTGTTTTCTCCTTTCTTTCCTGCAACGACCGAATCACACAACAGACACCGTTCAATCCGCCTTCCGCAGCAGATCGACCCACACCTCTAAGACTTCACTGGATAGAGTGAGGTCCGCAGCAACGCACAGGTTGGTCCGCTTCTCTTCCATGATGTTGAAGAGTCGCTGAGCCAGTGGGTGGGCCGTCAGCAGGGCTCGCTCCTTGAAGCTCAGCTGGGTGAGAAAACAGACAGGGCAGAAAAGGCAAACAAATCACTTTGCTCATTTCCACCTCTTCGAAGTAGAAGCCAGGAGGATTAGTTACTGATCTTTGTTTACCAATAGATTACAGAATAACATATGCGTCAGTGGGGAAAACTTTCAATCTGCCTCTCAACCCGACGGACACAAGACGTCCCCAACTCGCATACATTCCGGTGGACTGAAGAATAAGCGCGTCAGTCTTGACACAATGTGAGCACTGTACCTTCTTGACCTCTTTCTTCTGGAGCGACGGAACCAGGGGCGCCTTGACTGTCCTCACAAACTCTCTCACGTCCCGTGCCACGTCGGGAACAATCCTGTTGGTGGCCAGCAGTGTGTCCAAGATGTCTGTGATCTTGAAGATGCTGCATAGAGAAGAAGACAGCTAAAAAAACCAGACCTTCCTTAGAGGAAACAAGTTTCGAGATGACACCTGGGGTCCGATTTTGGTCACCACGAGAGCGAGCTCCAACTCGCCTCTCGCAAAGCAAGCCGAGATAGCGGTGTATCTGCTGACGCGAGCAAAAAAGAGTGTTTGTCTGCTATAAAGCGTCCTTTGCAGTCAAAAATAAAGCAAGAAAACTCCATACATAATTTGCTAACAATAATAACAATAATAATAATAATAATAATATTAATTTGCATACAAAAATCGGATCCTGAGTGGCGTGCACGGCTGTGCAGAAAGGTTAAAACCCGTATGCGAGTGCGCCTGCCAGCCCGCCACCCAGGATTTGAAAGAAAAAAAAAACACGCACACACGCACACGCACACAACAAACCAAACAAAAGTAAACCGTCCGTTACAAACCAAGTGCCGCGACAAATTGAAATCGGTCATCTGCCATTTCAGGCTAAAAAAGCTATCAATAATTCGTGCTTCCTTCAAAAGTTGTTCCGCTGCTGTACACAAGCCGACATCAACCGGTGGACGAAGGAGCACTTGGGACAAGAATATCAGAGGCCACAAAACCTCTCTCGCCATTTGTGCATTGGTGAGAAGTGCTCACCAAGATACTGTTAGATCGTGGACTGGTGAATAGGTAAAAGAAAATTCTCATTAGTCAATTAACGCACCTAATGAGAAGCCGCGATGCCACGTCCAATCGGCAGACGAAAACGCTGCCACTCTTGTCTCGACCAAAACCAGACCCCGAGCGTCGGGGAAGTAGGTGGCACAAAACTTGCGGAGCAGTCCGGAATCCTATTTTGACCAGAGGTCCAAGAAGGGCTTTCAAGAGCAGCGGAGTAACACTTAAGGCGTACCGCTAAACCAGCTTGGTAGCACCTCGAAGTCAAATAGAGCAGGCAGATCAATTGAGTACCTGTGGGTCTTGATGTTCCACTGAAGCAGGTTCTCTGAGCCCCCTTGCTCCCTGTCCAAGAAGACGACGGCGTCTGTCACCACAAGTCCAGCGGCAGTCAGCGCCTGGAAGGTCGCAGCCCAGAGCCTGCTATATTGAAAATCAAAATGGTCGCCGCCAGCACAAGGAACACAGCGCACGGCTTATTGTCTTCGCGCTTCTTGCCTCGCGATTGGCTCTCCGACGTTCTTATCGCAATCTCATTGGCTGGGATCGACAGTGAGGTGCTCAGGACTCAACACACCCTGCTTTCGATAAGACCATCAACGACTAGAGGAACATAAACAGCCCAGAAAGCAAATTTTCAAAGAAAGCTCACCTGTGCTGTCTCAATGATGCTGGATCCGCTGCTGACAATGTCTTCGATGACAACGCACTTTTGTCCCGCCTTGTAGTTGCCCTCAATGATCTGCTTTGTGCCATAGGACTTGGCTTCTTTCCTCCTCATCACCATGGGCAGGCTGGTCTTCATGGACACACACTGCACAGAAAAGGCAGGTTGTTACAAAAAGCTAGAGATGCCTCTTGGTGCCTCAAAGTGGAAGTGGCCATTTTGAAACATGGTGTCAACCTAGGGCGGCAGGATTTTTAGCACGTTTCGAGTCATGTTAGTGGTTATTGTAGCGGTCTTTAAGGTTCTCGACTTTTACATTTATCAATCATAAATAGCTTACTTCCTGTGGCAAGTTAGAGTTGCAGGGCCGTCATCTTTGCTTACTCTCGGCAAAACTGTTCGGTGAGAATTCCACTTGATATGCCGTCAAGATATTATAACTAGTGGGAGACAAAAAAACATTCTTTCGACTGATTTGTGCGTGAATGTATAAATTTGTTTTTCAAGTCTGTCAGATGAAGTGGGCTCACTGAACCATTCAGAAGAACTAAGAAAACATGGGGGCCGTAGGATTCTAAACTTTTAGATTGGTTAGAGGAAGTTTAAAGCAACAACACAAGCAAGATACCTGAATTGGAAAATATAAAATTTTGGCAAAGCACACGACTTTGGCCAATGAAGCATTGAACAGTTAACAAATATTGGACTAAAGGATAGAACGATAAGCAAACATTGCTGACTGGGAAGGACAGTAGCCTTTGGTTGACCTGCAGTCACGTTTTGCAGGTCAAAAAAATCTAAAACTAACATTTTTTTAAACTTTCTTTGATTGCACACCAAAAGTTAGCCCAATCCATATATTATGTTTCACTTTTAGCTGGTTATTTTGTGGGATATTACGGTATACGAGAAACAAACATCTAAAAACCACAGATATGAAAACCCGCTCACCGTGGCAATGGGGAGGGCAGTGTAGGGGACACCACAGATCAGGTCAGAGTCTATCTCGTCTTTTTGCATTGTGTATGCCACCAATAAAGCAATGTTGTGCTGCAACAGAAATCAGGCTTTAAGACGCCCGACGGCTCAACATGAAAACTCCATACCAATAGAAAACACCAGGTGAGCTGGATTGGTCATGAGGTCCTGTATAAAAACAGTGTGTGCACACACATAGCACTAGCGTAGAAAGTAGAATTTGGTGTTGTGGTGCTAACCCGTGTGATAGTAAATTGGTTTCAGAACCAACACTGTAGCTCCCTGCTCTATGAATGCCGTGCTGGAGAACACTGTCGTCCATATACAATCTGTAAACACGGCCCACAATAATGATAGTCATACAGCTTCTGACAGTGCAGCTTCGGTATTAGCTGTTTATATGTTAGCCGTACACCTTCTGACAGCGCAGCTTCGCTATTAGATGCTTTATGTTAGCCATTCAATCATGGAAAACATAAAGCCGGCGACCACGGAAATGGCAGTTTTAGGCTGCAGACGACGTTACGAAATCAACTCAGTTATAGAACAACCCAGAGATGCTGCTTCCACACAAACAGTTACCCCTCCCTCCCTCCCTCCTCCTCCTCCTCCTCCTCCTCCCCCTCCCTCCCTCCTCCCTCTCCCCCCCCCCCCCCCGGTTCGCCTCCCATCGTTCATGCAATGCACACATACTGAAGCACATTTAGATGTCATTTCACCATATTTTATATAGTACACAGTTTTGAAACACAGCCTGCCACCCGTCGTTCGAAGCACCCTCTAGAGTCTAAATGGCGCTTCGAACGACGGGTGGCGGGCTTGAAGGGGAGAGTGGAGGTAGCTCCCTTTGCGGGAGTTCCATAAAAAAACTTATATATTAACAATGCTTAGAGCCGGAGGTAAAGGTGTGGAAGCTGTGTGACGTCACGCGCATGGCACTGACATCACAACGACCACAGCAATGGCGATTTTAGGCTGCAGAGGACGTTTCTTCAATAATGCGAGCTTCATGAAAATCGATTCCTCCCCATCAATCAAGCAGAAAAATATGACCCGCGTCACAACCATTGCACGTGAACTGATATACCGATTTAAACTGTCGAACCACGGTGAACTGCACACTCGAACTGTAAAGCCTCCCGACTCCGTTTTAATAAATATAAAAAAGGAAAAGTAACGATACATGTACTGTAATAAAAATCGAATGATATATATACCAAAGAAAGAGCGATGCTATATGCACTACGTAGTGCACTTTGGACGAAAATTGCTATATGCACTACGCTGAGAGCTCATGCCGCTCGGGCCACCCTTTTTCGAACTGCGCGTGTATCACTGGGGAGCTCGTTAACCCAGCCCCCCGCCTGCGTTCACGCCGCTTCGCGGCGACAGTATGCGGCTGCTAATTAGAAAAGTTAACCAGTACACGCCGCTTCGCGGCGTCCAGCCGGCAACCCAAGCCCCGCTGTCCCCGATCTGCGAAGTCTGCGAAGTTTCGTCGACAACATTCGGTGTTTTTTTTTTTTTTCTTTTTTATCGCCAAATGCCTCGTCAAATATCGCCAAATGCCTCGTCAAAACAACGTTCAAGAAAAAAAGAAAAAGAAAAAAAAAAAAGGTAGGATCACCGCGATTCGAATCTGCGTCCACTTGCGTACGAAGCGGACACGCTAACCCAATTCCACCGGTTGGAAAACTCGTTGTGATCATTCATTTTATACGAGACAAACGTAGTGCATATAGCAATTTCCGGCCGAGTTGCACTCCGGAGTGCATATAGCATTACTCAAAAAGAAATGGCTTCAACAGGTGCGCAGTTGGATGTAAGGTACCGGTACGAGAAACAAACGTTGGCTTACCAGGAGTTTGGGGTGGCTGACACACATACGGAGGTCCACGTAGATGGGAGAAGTGATGCCGCTTTTCAGCGTGAACGAGCCGAACTTGATGCCACCGGCGTCAACAAGTTTGCAGATGAGATCGTTTGCCATGGCGCGGGTCCACGTGCGTCAAACACGCGCGAAAACGGCACGTAAACCGCTTGAGGGTTGCACTTGGGAAGAGCCACTGAGGTAGGATATACTCTATTACAACAGGATAAAACGTTTACAGGCCAGGAAACAGGACAGCGAAAGAAATGTGCCGAAAAAGCGACGACACAGACACTTTGCCCTTCGTCGACTTCGCCGTCGGTCCGGTCTTCAAATGATGACACGTGATGGGATCTTCTACGAGGAGATAGATGTACAAGAAGCGTCTTCAGTTTACTAATTGGGCGATTTTTGCGCAACCTAACGTCTGTTATTTTACAAAAAAATATATCAAGTAAGCTTTTCATCATAGTAAGTAGTAAGCATAGTAAGCTTTTCATCATTCTTATGTTTTTATTTTAGATTTAAATTGTTCATTTACAGCTTAAATTTTAGTTAATTGCTTTTAACCAACGTTTAATAGTTGATGACTGGCGCCTCAAGAAGGAAAGCTGGGAAAGCTACAGCTGGATGTACGCGCGGTGCGCGCCATTTTCAATCGCGAGTTTGGGATGTAGACAGTCCATTGACAGTCATCTCTTATTTTCCGCTTCTACCAGGTAGGAAAAAAACGATCCGATGGTCGACAGACTGGACGGAAATGAAGGTAATGAAGACATAAACGCTTCTACCAACTGTGGTAACCAAAAAACACCAATTTGTGGTGAGGAGCAAGTGATATGAACTGAATATCTAAGCTCTATCACCATCGTTCTACTCACAGTGGTTCTACTTAAAGCCCCTTGATAAAAGCGTTTGTGACAAGTACCGCCAACCTTGTTGTGGAAGCGCGCGAGACACGTGCCATGCGCGGGTGCTCCGCCGCCGTTCGCTTCCAAGGCCCGCTCATTTCAGTGCTGCGCCGCCATTTGCTTCCAAGGGCCGCTCGAGACATGGGCCTCGTGCACTCGCGCATTTGACGCTACTTGCAAGACAAACGCAAACACATCGAGGGCCTTTAGTTCTACTCACCCTCGTTTTTCAGTAGTGACGTGATCGGCTTCAGCCGAAACTTTAACCGGGAACCGGTCAGGTTTTCTCACTTTGTTCCTCCGTTCGTTTATTTGTCTTTCAGACTCAACCTTGTCGCTTCAGAGGCCTAGTGCAGGCAGTTCCCGAAATTTTCGGGTAGGTGTGCTTTTGTAACCGACATGCTGTACGTATGCCATTATATCAATTGTGATTAAACGTTATTAACCTTCCAGAAACCAGATGTACGTCCTGATGACGTTCAAGGATTCAGACAACGTCGAACGTGCTGCTCCGGTTATCATCGTAGATGACACGGTACTCTGTCAACAAACAAACAAAACAAAAAAACTGGGATACGGTCGAGAAAATGAAGTCTGAATTTTCGGCCTGCGTAGACACAGCATATGCGCTGATAAAAAACTGCGAATCAGATGCTAGTGGTGGTGGCGGAATCTTGTATCTTTTGATTCAGGTAATGTCACAATCCCAAACTTGAGCAAACTGCCGCTAGCGTCACGTTTTCTTACAGTTTCAGCTTGCTGCGATCATATTTTATTTAGAGTAGAGCTATACGCACGAGCTCGTGCACCTTGGTCGGAAATGGCTATACGCACATCGCAAAACTCTTATAAAATGAATGGTTACAACGAGTTTCCGAAGCAGCAGCGTAGCTTAGTGGAAAGGTGTCTGCTTTATATGCAGCGGACCCCAGTTCAATCCACAGAGTGGGCTTACTTGTTTTGTTTTTTTCTCAAACATTTTGTTTTGGCGATATTTACGACATTTCTTTTTTACAATTAACACTGAAAAAAAATAGTGTTGTCGGCGAAACTTTCTTTGAACTAAATGGTATAAGCCGCCTGCTTTGCCCAGGAGGCGCTGTGAAAAAACCGGCTGGCAGCGCCCCCTACTATTTGTTCAGCGGTATTGGGTAGTACAAACTTACAAACCTATGCATCTGAATTTGTCCCGCGTGAAAACGTTAGCCTGCGGTATGAATTCCTTCCTAGCGATTGTCTTGCGGCTCGGAATCGAGTCAATTTCTAACGTGGAAAGCTTCTTTTGTTCCTCAACACTTCCCAAAGAGAATAAACTCAGCGGTGCAAGTTACGTCTACGCCATACAAAAAGCTACAAACTTGGTGTCGGCGTGGTGTCACTCGCAAAAACAGCGAGCTTATGATGTCAAGCTTGAGGTGAGCATTACGAGATATGTGAACGCGCCTTGCAAGCAAAAGCTCCTGAACTGCAGTCCCGTACAGCCAACGCTATCAGCTGATGACCAACCTCGAAAATGCGCAAAAGCAAACGCAAGCGATCGAGCATCAACCGGCCGTCTGTTGGCCGAGCACATCACACTTACTACTACTACTAATAATAATATTAAGAACAATAATAATGGTAATAATCTTTATTTGAAGAGAAGTTTTACCCCAAGTGGCTTGCTTGGCTAGAACAGAAAGGCGAAACCCCGTACGGTTGTGCGTCTGCCAGCCAACCATCCAGGGCAGGAGGAAAACAGGACTGTAAGCTGTCTCTCGAGCTCTTGCAGCTTTTCTTGCACATCTGCGATGTAAGCTTCACGTTGGTGCACATGCATGCTCTATGTAGTTTAATCGGATCGGTCGGACTGTATAGCGTGTTCCTGTTCGTAAAAATCGCATGACGCACGTTTCGATGCATGCCATGGCCGCTTGATCGAGTGGCCGTGCCTTAGCAGAACAACCTGGAGGGCGAAAAAAACAATTGTCTCGCTTACTCAGTTCTCTGGGCGGCTAGTGTTGTTCCCTCCGCTCGACTTTGCACAATTTCGATGGGAATCTGTAGAAGTTCACTCCAGGGTTCTTCCCGTTCTTGACAGTTGATGACGCAACAGTACTGTCAACGGCAACGTTTTACGCATCAAGGTCGCACTGCTGGCTCCCGGTTTCGACGTGCTTGGAAAAAGGAAAAATTACTAGCTTGCGGCGAGCTCGGGTCCCTGGGGTAACGTTATGCGGTTTGACGACTACGAATGACATATTTTGAGTCGTGACCACACAAACGCACAAATAACAGCAGCGTCCAGAGGTAAACAGCCACCTGAACAGGTTTGTTATTGTGCGGGGCCGCGGGACTTGTATTACTCAGACACTCTACTGCCCGCCACCGGAGGGCGCCACGATGCGTTCAAAGCTAGATGGCTAGCTGGCGTAAGCTACCGCCCGATCCAAAGGGCTCAGACGGATTCATCCATCCATCCAGCTTCAGCGCAGGAGACCTTTGGGGCTCCCTTTCCGGAGGTGCAATGGGGGACAGCGTGGCTTGGGTTGCCAACTGGATGCCGTGCAGTGGCTTTAACGGGGGGGGCAAGTGGGTTAGTAGCTTTGTAATGAGCAGCCGCAGACTGTCACCGCAAGGAGCCGCGAATAATACCCTGGCGGTGGTCGTGAGAAACAAAATTATTAAGTGCATTGGAGTAGCTCTCGGCGACTGAAAATGAGGTGCACGTTCGTATGTTTCGATCAAGCTCATGCAAAATCATCGGGGAAGATATGCAAATGTATAGAAGATACAAAAAGCATGCACGATCGGCAGAACACATTGACTTAATCCGCACACCAGGTGCCGAGGGCCGGGAATCTGCCGTCCAAGCAAAACAGAGTTTGAGCGGCACATTTATTTCTTTCATACTCTTGCATGATCATAATCGAAACATCATGTGCATCATATTTTAAAGACACAAAGAGTTACTTCATTTAACTCCTAAGCACTTACCAAAACTGTTTCTCGCTACCACTGCTAGGGGATTATTGTTGGCTCCTGGTTGACCACGAGAACATGTCAAACCCTCCATCTGCGTCTGGTGCACGCCCTGGCTCTGCCCGCTCTCCCCATTGACCAAACTCTCCCTATACACAACTCTGGATAGACCGCCCTCGTAAATTGTGTACGGCAGCACGCAACAAGTGTAGGAGGCGTAGGTACGGTGCCTGGAACGAATCTATGACTGGTATGTTTACCGCGTCCAAGAAAAATGGTCCCTCGATTTCCGCCTGATGACGTAGAAACGTCGCACCATCGCCAGCCATGATCCTGGTGGTGTCGCGGCGGCGGTGGACGCGACAGATGCTCAACAGTCCGCGGAGGCTTCGGCAACCGGGAGTCGGGATGCCGCGACGACGGCGACGCTCTCATTTGTTCATACTTTTAGCACCAAACGCCGGCACCCAGGACGCCATTCGTTGCCACTTAAGGACCGCTTTCGACGCATATGAGGAACGGGATGCCAGATGCACCAGTCCGAGACACGTTTCAGGCACAGTAGAGTAGGCAAGTTAAACAAGTCTATGCAGAGAGCAAGTCGTCTGCTTCTTGGGCAGGGGTTGCGGCAACGTCAGAACCATGCCGAGTTCCGATTGGCTTTGATTGGAAAGACAGTGGGTACACCCATAAGGTCTTGGCCTTCTGACATCATCGCAACCCTTGTGCAAGAAGCAGACGAACTAGCACTCCGCATTACAACGCCACTTTCGATCTGGATTCCCGACCAGGCTTGGGGGCAAGTGGCCCTTTCCCGGGGGACCCTGCAACGGCTTGGCCTACGGCGCTCCAAGCGCCTGGCACTGCTGCGTCGTCGACAAGATCGAGGTCACGCTCAGTCCCACGTGTGACCGTTGTGGCAGACGCAAGACGTGCACCCCGTCCTGTCGCCCCCTGGGGTCCGAGCCGCGTGCCACGGCCACGGCCCGGCAAGTAGCCCGGTTTGGCCAATCACGGTGCTCGCTGCAAATGTTGCCGATATGCTGAGGGCTGGTTCACACGCTTGCAACGGCTTGCGGCTGCGTGCCTTTAAACGTCTTAAAATCTCGCGGGGGAACGCAGTGGCGCTATCTATTGGGCAGCTGGGGAATACCTGGCATTTCAGTATTTTTTCTTTTTCCCCCAACATTCTTTCTTGGCTTGAAAAACTTTTGACATTATAAATAAAATTCTGTGGTTTTAACATTTTTTTTCTTTTTTTTAAATTTGGGGGTATTTAATGGTGTTTATTTTTTCTCTTTGAATCAACGACTTTTGGTGTCCAGTATCAATGCCTAAGAGAAATCGGTGTTTATCGAGCTTTTGTTGTAAAGCAACTAATTACTGGAGAAAACATGTTATAAATTAAAACATTTTCTCCAGTAATGCTGGTAAAGGTAAGAGAAGGGAACAGGGCAAGCAATAGGGTTTTGATCTAAAGGAACATCCCTAGGGATGGCTTAGTGCAACTGTGGTCAAACTCAAAAATTAAAAAAAAAAACAAAAAAAAAAACACTTTTTTTTGTAAATGTAATAATTGCTTTTTTTCTTCTTTTAAAACATTTTAAATTTGGGGGTTGTTTGATTTTCATTGATTTAGAGAAAACCACCTCGGGGGTTAATTTTAGGTATATTGCCACTATTGGCAGACGATGAGGCGAAAACGGAATGAACTAAAAATAATATGGGGTGAACTTGTGTTAGAAATAAAAGAACACCACACATTGAGAAAGCACCAGCGAGCGTCGATGGCGGCAGCAGGAAGCAAATGTGCGTCGGCATAACAGCTGGCTATCGCGACAGAGATTCCGTGCATGAATCGGCAATATGGTGCGCGACTTTCTACTATGCTCCTCATCTCGAATATTCGACCTGGAACGTTCGGGAAAGAGCTAAGACAAGACTGACTAGGCATCATTCTGGCCTCCTTATTTTTTATGCTGGGGGTAGGAGTATGAGCAAATCTTTCAGATGAATAGAGAAGCTATCCTCTCGATCACGCATGCACCATTATACCAAAACACAGAACCCTAATTATAAACTACCATTTTTCGTACGTAGTACATATATTTGATCTCGCAGATGCCACAAACCTTCGCTCTAGTGAAATGCGGTTCCAAAGTCGCCTCACAGATGACACCAGTATACCTGCGTGATTTCTCTTCACGAGAGGTTGCAAAAGCTCAGTGGTAAGAAAAAGCAAGGGTGGACGGGCCTTAACACGTAGGTTCAGAAACCAGGCTCTTGTGAACTCTGGAGTTCTTCGAGTCTGTCCCGAAATTGTGTCGGGAAATGTGGTCAATATTGAGGGGAACCGGAGTTGAAAGTCGGCAAGTGGTTTCTGAAAAAGGATATGGAAAAGGTGTAGGGTTTGTGATGGCTGGCCGACTTCAGGGTAGCACGAATGTTGTCTAATGTTCTGCGTTATCCAACTGGAAACCCCACCTTTCGGTGTCAATAACAGAAAATATTGACCGGGCATTCAACTCCCCCGAACTCTCCACCCTTGGCTTTCAAATTATATTGGCATTTCCTTTATTTCATACTAAAGGCATCTAGCGATGCATTACACGAGGGTGAAAGGAAGTGGGGAAAAGTCCCAAAATATCTTCAAAAGACTGGTATTATATACGTTTTCTCCATATAAGCAGCTCTGCTAAAGAACACATCTATCTTTATTTTTATTGCATAATTGAGCTACCAGCACACAAAATGCTCTTTGGTATTCAGGCAGGTCGTAGAAAAATGTATTCACACCAGCGTCGGCAAAATCGGTTTTGTACTGCGGGTTGGTAATCGGCAAATGGTAACTGGTATTGTCACGATCCACTCTTGCCACCAAAACAGATATGTGTGGCACGACGACCATAGGAAGAAAACTGTGCTCATAAACAACGCATTTCGTAGCCTTCACCCGTACCGTGCCAAAAGTAACCGAACGGGATGAATTGGCCAAATCGCAGTAGGGCCGATCTCTAAATGTAGGCCAATCCCAGGTTTCAAGCCAACTCCTGGGGCGGGTGCGTGGCCGCGTGTCATGGCGACCAGGTCCGCAAGCTCTTGAGTCTTCCGGAGTCGCTATGGACGCCCTTGCTTCGACGGGTCTTTCGGTCGGGATCACCGTGCCAGTTTGCGTCCAAGAAGGCAAGTTGTCCACCATGAATTCCAGATATTTTGTTTTTCTAAGTCACTTCAAAAGTCTACGACACGTTTCCGAGCGCCCTGCAAGGCTTAAAATGATTTGTATTAAAAAAAAAATACATTTAAGGTGGTGCATTAAGTTTTCACAAAGGATCTCAAAAAAGCTTTTGTTTCTACTTTATGTTGTGCCATCTGTAAAGAACAGTGTAAACCAGACTTTTTTTTTTTTTTCCTCTTTATGCTTGCAACCAAAAAGCAGGATTTTCTAATATTTGTTTTTCTAAATGCCTATATCTAAAGACACCTTTGTGAAATGTTTGCATAATTGCATGCGGTCCATTAATTTATTCGTAGAAATTTTTTATGCCAGAGTAATACTTGGAAAGACCCTGTAAATACGCACAATGGACACTCAACACTCGGACACTTCCAAAAGTTGGACCGTCCAAGTGAGCAACAGCGTGCGTAGTTGGGGGACACTTCGTCGTGTTGTCCAGACGCGTGCAAGTTTACAGCTTCGCGATTGTAATACAAACTCCATCTTTGGGCCGACAGAATCCGGCAGGAACCCTCGCACACTGCCCTGTGCCTAAGCTTCTGTTAGAAGAGGCGCTGGACAAATGGTGCAAACGCCCCGCACTCTTGCGGTGCGTTGGCCTCGCTTCCACCGAGTACCGAACGAGGGGTAAGCTCCGCTATTTTTGGCGCACATGCATTCTTTTTATGCCAAGGTTCTCCATTCACGACAGATTTGGCAATAGCTTGTACACTCCAAACAGCTTCGCTAAAAACCGAGTCAATCTCACTCCAAAACAAACTTTTTTTTTTAACCTTTCGGAATGATTATAGTGAGGAGCCACATGGATCCTGGCACAATACTAATCGTTTAGAGCCGTTTCAAAAGAGCACGACACTGCCTTCGTGGAGATGCAACGCAGGTTACGCTAAACACATCCTTTTCTCCCAGTGGTATGCCCACACAAATTAAAAAGAAACAATCTTGGCCAGTCTACAAATATAAAATTCTTGGCCTTTGCTCAGAGCTGCTGGCTGGTGTCAATGCCTGTGTGGCAGTATGTAAAATTATAGCTGTAAGCAAGCAATCTCAACCGACCCTATCATTTCATGTAAAGACATATGCAAAGGAAAAAAAAATTTTTTTTTTAAACAGACTAGATGGGAAAGGATGTTGTAAAACAAATTTACAACGAAAAAAAAAAAAAAACTTTTAGAGCTATTTACGGCCAAAACGAATTTGTAGCTGGCACAAGCAAGAGCCCGTGAAAAAGTGCTTGCGCCCTTTCAGGTGCTTTTTACGGTGTTATTAATCTTTGTTTAAAGTGTAACAAAAAAAACTAAGATTAATAAGTAACTTTTAGAGCCTACCCGAAGCTTCCAAAAGAGCGCAAGCACCACGTGATAGACCTGCGCACCGGTCAGAAATCGCGCCAGAGTATTTCCTTCCGGCGGCTCCGGCGTACTTCTGGCGGCGGCAGCGCACAGGCCTAGCGGCGACTTTTGCGGCCGCCAACCACAAATTTGTTTTCCACTGTAGATAAGTCCTTTAAAATAACGTACTGTTTGAACAAGGCCATTTCCAAAGAGAAATAAACTGCACAATTTTTTTTTTAAAATTTCATAAATGATTGTAACAATTGACGAAAGAAAAATAAAAGGTGCAATTGTAAGTAGCAAAGTTGTAAGAACGGAAGAAATCGACATGTTTTGTCCGACGCCATTTCCGGCACAGGTTTCACGAAGAGGCAGAGCCAAACCGCGTCTGCAGAGTTGAAACCACAGCGCCACCTGCAAGTGTCCGACATACATGAGGCAAATCCCGGCTTAGTCAAGCTCAGGGTGGAAGACAGACAGGTGGTGAAACGAGAGCCAAATGAGCGACCGGATTGTGTCCCCCTCGGTTTTCTCTTTTTCTGTGGCGCCATCTATGTTGAGCACCGCGAACTCTCACTCCAGGTGGGCGAACGCTGGCGACCGGTTCAACTGATGGAGAAGGTTTCTCGTGGATTTTCAGTGGAGGACTGTCGTGCTCTCAGTTTATTTTGCGCACTCTCCCATAGAGTTCCATGCGAATCCGATTCCAATTTTTTTCTTCTCGCCGCAGCGCCATCTGTCGCAAATCGGGGGTACCAGCAAGCCACCCGCAAGCAGACGAGTACACAATCCGGTCACGGCGCTGCGGTAGGTTTCTACGGGCCGTTTCCCCACCTGTCTATCTTACACCCTGGTCAAGCTCCAGTTGTCTCGCTGTCAGAGCTACGGCTCGGACAAGAATCAATCCAGCTAGCCATTCCACAATCGTTCGACAGCACAAGACAAGCGAAATCGCCAGAATCGGCAACAAAATATGTGTAAAATAAAGCTATCTTTTTTTCTAGTTTTCACCCGCTTATCTATGTGCAGTTGTGCAAAGAGTCGGCTGTAGTTTTTACTATACTACCATGCCTCGAACAAGTCTTCGACAGGCATGTTTGGCGTCCTGTCCCGCCCGTGCAGCGAGTGGTCTCTCGAAGTGGCAACAAACTGCGTCACAGGAGCCGCTTGGCAGTCGGATGTCGCATTCTTGTAGGTTTGTTGTAGAAATGCTGGCGAAAAAGGCGAGCAGACGCAGGGGTCGCTGTTGCTGCGGCATCCCATCTTACGTCTGCTTTGCTTTTCGGCAGTGCTTTGGGTCGATCAGTGTCGAAGCACTAGCAAGAACTAGTAAGGTTCAATTGGTGTCGAAGCACTAGCAGGACCAATCACCTTACCCAGTAGGACAAAACAAGGGAACCAAAACTCCCCTTCTTTTTATTACGACCAATACCCTAACATTCTTCGATGCACTTAGGCTACGATCAAACACACCCCGTCTTCTTTTTCCCTGTCCAAAGTCCCCTCAAACTTTGGAGAAACAAAGATTCTCGACCCAGAGCTGAGGCTTTGGGCGCCGTCGTGGAGATGCAAAAAGGTTTATTGGCTATCTCAACGGCAACAGGTACAAAATCCAGTCAAAAACTGCTGGACAAGAGACATCCATAACAAAAAAAAAACAATGAAAAGACCAACAAAAACGCGGCTCTCTGTAACAGGCCTTGTTTGCTCGCGCCGGCATGACTTCTAGGGGGAAGCTGTCTTGTTTTTCATATTTTGTTTTCTCTCCTTTATTGCTTTCTTTCGGACGCGTCGCCATTGCGCACGCTCTCGTAGGGGCGCGCGCTTCTCTCCGCAAATGCTTGACTAGAACCTTCAACACAGTCTCGAGTCCATCTCCTTCGAGTCCCCGCGCACAAGAAAACGAGACTACACAAACCCCCGGTCCCCCTTTTGGCAAGCACGCACGGCACACGCAAACGCGGGTCGGTGGCAGGAAGCGCTATTTACAAAGATCCCCCGTCGCAGTCTCCGACGACGAACGCCCTTGCAAAAAGGAGAGGAAAGCGCGGCGCGTGCACACGGAGCGTATAAATGCACCCTTTTTGAGCTTGAGCTGGGAGACCCGGCGGACGCTCCCCCGCCGGCGTCGAATAACGCCCCCCGCCTCCACCGGAGTGGCGCCTCCCACTGGAGAGGGGGGCGGGTGCACTAGGGGGGATGCGCCGCCGCCAACGTTTGCATAATCGTTGCGTTTCCGCTCGCCTCACCCTAAGTGAAGCACTTGCATGGCGTCAAAGGCACCTAGTCTAGCACAAACCGCAGCAGCTACTATCCGAGGCTCGCCTCGGCTTCGGGGGGTGGGGGGGAGAAGGGGGGGGGGGGGGGGGGGGGGCGAGCGCTCCCTCCCGCTTTTGATTTCACTTTTCAGAAAATGTATTTTTTGGCAAGCGGGTGGGAAGGCCGTCCCGAGAACACTGCGCTTTTCATCCCTCGTCTCGAAACAACAACAACGGTAACAACAATCCCTCGCCCACTTCTGATGGCAGCTTGTGCAAGTGTGGGAAGGGAAAATAAAATAAAAAAAGAGGCTGGAAAAAAACAAAACAAAAAAAAAAAAAGAACCTCCCCTTCTTGCAAATTCTAAGGCTAGGGAAGCGCAACGAAATTGGCACACTCTGCATCGGGGGAACGCCGGGCGGAGATCGGGCCTGGGTCGGGGTCGGGTCGGCGACTGTGCGGCGGACAACGGCCGGCACTCCGTTTGTACTGGCAAGGAACTGGTCCAATTGCGAGCTAGCAAGCGGAAACTCAGGCGCAGAAGAAACACTGCCACCCATCAGAAGGCACTGTAATAACAAACTCTTGCTCTGCAGCGGGCGCGCACGACCGAGAACCAAGGCGAGAGAGAAGGGGCGGTCTCCGACCCAACCCTGCCTCCCGTGGCCCCGCCCACCCGGCTCCGCCCCCCTCGCGTATATATTAGTCACTCTGCTGTACACCTTTGCCATATATATACACATGGGGACGTATGCAACTATAAAAAAAAGAACAAGAGCTCCACGAGCGTTTTTTTTTTTTGGGAGGTCGCAAAGGATAACGAAAAATGCTTGCCGCGCAGTTTTGTCTTTGCGCCGTTCTCTATGTACAGTGACGATGGGCCGCCGGCGTAAGGTTATTGCGCTTCTGCAGTCCGACCCTAAGGGGCACGGGTACTTTGCATAGATTGTAGCGTAGTAGCTAGAGCTAGCCATACTTGTGACTCTGCAATGTCTAAAAAGAGGCTATGACGAAATAGTATACATACTTTTTTTTCTTCCTCGCACGCGTGTTTTTGTATACATATAATGTGTATATATATAATGTGTATAGATATCCTCTCTTTCTCTAGCGTGGAGCTTGTAAAAAATGTCCGTCCTCAAAAAATGAGCTACAGCAGTCGTTCTAAAAGGGGTGGGGGTGGGAAAAGGGGCTATGATACAAACTCACTCGGGTTGAACAGCGCGCTCCCTATCACAAAAAAAATTTGTCATGTCCGCCCGGCAAGCCGTGTTTTGGCACCACAGGCCTGGGTGCGTCCTCTTGAGCAAGCAGACGGCTCAGGACGGTTTTGAGGCCCCGACGTCGTCCGACTCGTCACCAGGCGTCACCACCGAGAAGAAGCGTTCTACAAAGACAAGACGGCGCAATCGTCAAAGAAAGATAAGAGTTGCATAGACTTATCGTAACGGACCTTGACAGCAATGAAGATTTTGGTTTGTTGTAAAAGGAGTGGGCAGACACACTTACTAAAGACTAACGCGGATTATGACTGGAGTCTGTTCCAACTAGTGAGATTGACAAAATTTTAATGGTTTCATATTTTAAAAATAAAACTATGAAAAATAATTACATTTTATTGAGCCGTATCGACAATTATCGTCACTGTGTACTTTGGTTCACACGAGGTTAGGCACCGGGCACTATGATGGCAGATTGCAAAATGGATGCCACCGCTACCGAACCAAAACCGCTCCAAAATGACGACTGCAAGCTGTGTTCAATTTACCTACACTTCCTGCACCAATGCAAAAAAGTGTAATGTACCTCCGGCATGTGTATTCAGATATGACCGCAGGAGGTGTGGGTAAATAAGACGCAGCTATTGTCGAAGAGATCGCCATGATAGAATAATGAACTACTTACAAACCCTCAAATATGGTCCATAATATTCAATGTATGTTACAACAGAATCTGTAATGAGTGAAGGTGGCTCAATGGCATAGATAGGATGACACACCCCCGAACTCCACAAATCGGTATGTCATAACTAGGATTCCGTCTTTTCGGAGTCTATATCTCGTGAAATTCGGAGTGTATTTTTCGGAGTTTATTTTTCGCTAAAAATTCGGAGTTTATTGGAGTTTAGTTTTGTTCGATTCCCAATTATCTGAAATTCTGAGTTTCACACGCCTGTGACTGCTTATGACTCTGTGCCTCAAAGGTTTTGTTTATCTATAGCTCGATTCCAAAATATCTGGGATTAATGAGTGATTTCAGCTTAAAAAACACTAATAAAAGACAGTACGTCATTTGCTTCGCAAAAAATGGTATATATCTTGTTAAATCATACTTTAAACATGAGCAGAAATCTAAACCAAAACTTCGGCTCAGTCTGGCGACATTGGCCTTGGGCAGCCAAAAATGTGACTGTCAGGTGGTACGAGACGTCACGTAACCCTCTACGCAACGACGGGCGGGATTGGGGCCGGCCACCGTTTGGGCGGCCGTGTGTGAGGCGCAAGTGTCGTCTGCACCGCACTCTTCACCACATTTCGGTGTCTACGACATTCGACGACGTCTGCACAACTGCGGCATCAGTCTGCACACGTAGTGTGAAACTCCGAGAGACAATCACAAACGGTGAGACGACGACGGCGGCGGTAACGGCGTGACGGCCGAACGGCTCCCAAGAAGCATGCTACGCAGGTGCATTATGCCAATCATGTGCACACCGCTGAGCGCCGAGAGGAAACTTTGGCGATGTCACCCACTGCATTGTTTTTTCAAAAACAGAAATGAAGCGGGGTTGCCCTCCAGCACTGACCATTTCCTATAGTATTTCCTTTTGCACATCATTCTTTTTCTTTTTTCTTTTTGCTCGAAAAATCTTTTGACAGTGTTAGTAAATAGGGTTCAGTGTTTTGGAAGGGGGGTTTTCTTTTTCTTTTGAGTTTTTGAAGGTGTTTTACCTTTATGGGTTTTTTTCCCTACCGATTTAAAGTTCTTTTGGCTTCGATTTCAAACGTAGGACAAAACAAATTGAGGTTTGTCAAGGCTCGTCTTGAAGAAAACAAGGCAAGGGCATGCGATTCAACAACCTTTGGGGAACATAATGCAACCCGAATACTTGTAAAAGTACCCCATACCAATCAAAGTAAAAAAAAAAACAAGATGCGTAGTTTTAAATCAAGGAGCCTCACAAACGGTTCGTCGAGGTCTGCGTTCCGGGACGATACAGAATAAAGCTGTAGACAAAGTTTTTCTTACCGTCAAGCTTGAGTTCCTCCTATTTCGACAAAACCGCCTCGGGTTTCCATTTTAAGGGTTTATCGATATTCGCCGAAAACACGAAGCCCAAGTCATAAACGACTGTTTCTTGTAGACAATTAGACATGTACATTCGATTTCGCAAATGCCGCAAAACGTTCGCTCTAGTGGAACGCAGTTCCAGAGTCACCTCGTACGTGGCGGGCGCCAGCGTTTTCCCTTGTCATAAGACATTGCAAGAACTCGGTCGTAAGCACATGCAGGTGTGTCAATGGATCTTTGTTCCATCAGTGACTGTAGCAGGTACGATGCTCGTCCGTTTCAATCCGGACAAGCGTCGTACCGGTGTGCGGTCGTGCATCACCACTGCGCAACACGCGTCGGACCCCGAGCTAACGGCAGTACCGCACTGGCTAAATTTCTCATCTACGGTGTAAACTGGTGTCGCCGCAGCTCAAAGGCAGACCAACCTTAGTCTTAGAAGACCAAGTTCGATTAGTGTTTTTTTTTTTTTTTGTTTCTTTTTCATATTCTTACTACACTAGGACGGCAGACGGTGACGACACCCCACTCACCGTCGCCGGGGCCTGTGATGATGTGCGGGGAGTCCGAGGGGTCCGGCGTGGCCCCCCCGGGGAGCAGGCCCGCCATCATGTTGTAGTCCATGTTCTCGTCGAGCGCGATGAAGGGGGGGTTCCAGCGGGGGACTGGGGTGGTGCGCGGGGTGGTGCGAGGGGTGGTCACCGGGGAGGCCAGCAGGCCCGTGGGGCTCATCACCCCGCCCCCCATGCCGCCCACGGGGGACATGCTCGGGTACGAGAACAGCTGCCACCGTGGAAGAGGAGGAGAGAGAAGAGAGAGAGGAGGGGGTACCCAGTGTTGTAAAGCTGCCACCCGCAGAGCCGCCCGGCGGTGAATGCCGTCCTTCGTACCCGGTTGCAGGCCGAGAAAAGCAGGGCGGGCTCTTTCCACAAAGCCCTCGACTCTTTCCGCTTTAGCAGAGCTTTAGGAGAGCGAACGCTGGAGTGGAGGCGGGTAGACTGGCCTCCTCTCCAGTGTTTGCTCTGCTAAAGCGGAGAGAGTAGAGAGCTTCGCAGGAAGTAGCTTTCCCCGCTTTTCCTAACCAGCAACCGGGTACAGTTACAATCCGTACAACCCTACCATGAAGTGGCGAATGCTACGAGCCATCCCGGCCAATCGAGCACTATCTGCACGTCACGTGACTGCGCCCCGCGCATTGCTGTGCGCAACCGGGAGGTCGTGCGGCATGCTCTCGGCTTTGACGACTCCTAGTGTCCGCTACAGTCCGTTGTAATGTCCGTCTGCGGACTTTGCCGACCTTTTCTCTTAAGGTACGATTTAGCCTTACGGGCTGCTAGAAATGCTACCTTCGCTGTGCACAAGAAAAGTGTTGTCCTATGCCTGGATTCCTGACGCATCGGCTTAAGTATGGCTCCTGTTTGAGGTAGCCGGATGTCTAGAGTCTGCAAAGAAGCCCATGTATCTTGAAACTTCATTGCTCGTGAAAGTAGCCTCAGTGGGGAGATAGCTGGTGCAGATGAAGTAAACTGCTTGCATCAGGTTTAAAGCTCTCGGAGTTTACGGCTAGATATGTCGTCCGTTTACGCTAGTGGTGGTTGTATTTTAAAATAAAAGGCAAGCATTTACCCTATTGATTCGAGGAAAATGTTAATCTCTTTCACATATGTACGAAGTGAAGCTCCAGTAGCATAGCTCTTTCTTCTGACCTAGTAATGTAGCAGCACATGTAACCCCAATTCAACTACATTTAGCATTGTTTACAGTACACACCTGAAACACTCTTCTCACTCTGCCTCATTGTTCAACATTTACAACACTGAGAGTACCCAGCAGAACATGACCAGTTGCCCGAATCCTTTCCATGCAGGTACCCCATCCACCCATGTACAATATGCTTCCTTGATCCCCTCGCACGCTAACGAACACAACCAAAAGTGCAACCCCAAATTAAAAATATCCGAAGTTGTTGCAAATATTCGGCACCTATAAAGGCTTTCCCCTAGCATGGAAGCCACAAGTAAAATGACATGACTTCGAACACTGGCAGTTGGTTGTCGTTTGCTTCCAAAAACATTTCTGTGAAGGAAGCGTCGTAAAATTCTCGCGATTTATTTCACCAAAACACAGGCACACACACGCGGCCTGAAGAGGCGATCACCATATTTTTCCTTTTTTTTTTCTACACCGGACGGATGGGATGATGACTATACATACTGGTGTAAAGAACACGCGCATGCGGGACGATATAGCGTAATATCTGAAACTAACCGGCAAAAAGCAGGTTGCCAAAACGCAGCCACATCCTGTTCACTCCAACTGTGTTGCATGTTACACTACAGCTCTTTGCAAGAAAAAAAAAGAATATGAGGACAACAAAGAAGAGGACGAAGTTGTCCAATATCAATCGCGCTCACAGGCTACGTCATTTACACATCGAGTAGAACACATAGCGACTTCTTTTCTTCGTCAGAGCTCTTTGCTCTGTCGACTCTCGCCAGTGCGGATGACACGAGGTGTGCATGGTCTTTTCGACTCTTAATCGGCCGGTAGCTCAGACCCCAGGAAAGACCGGTTCACCCAAAGCCCATTGGTCGTGCACGGTGCAGTGGTGAGGCAGACCGAGCACCAGACAGGGAAGGAGAGTGGCGTGCGTCGGGTCACCTACTTGGCTCTGCGAGTGGATGTGGGCAAAGCTGTGCTCGGAAGATGATCGCGGCATGAAGGGGCTCGACGCGGACCGGCTCCCGCCGCCTGGTGAAGGATCGCCCGCCGTGCTGCACACTGACGCACGACGCAGACGTCAGTCGGGCACTCCGCGAGACAGACAAAAAAAAGATGCGTCCGGAACATGCTTTTTCCAATGTGAAGAGCTTAGCGTCCAGAAAGGCGTATGTCAATCTTAAGGACTGCATCCTTGCAATCTCTTACGACGCGAGAACATGCTGGCAGACTGGCGCCATCTAGGAGGCGACCCTGGAACAGCATCTTGCAACAGCGAGGTATTTGCAAGGTCAAACATATTGTATACAGTGCAATCTACTTATAACAATAACGAGAAAACCCGAAAATTCAACTGTTATAACTGATTATCATTGTATCTGGACAAGAAAATGAGCGCTTGTAGCTTAGGAACCCTAGAAACTGATTGACATAAGCATTACATCGGTATATGTGGTATCTTTATAAGTGGATCGCATTAAAAACTAATATATAGGTAAATTTTGCTCTAAAATTTTTTTATTTTTGTCATATATATTGGTCATTGGCGGAAAAAACAAAACAAGTCTGGCAACTAGAGCGCCTGATGCCGCCATTTTGTTTTTCTTGCGCTACTTCTGTTTTTTGTGTCGCAATAGTCACTGGTGCTTGCTGAATGAGAATGAGCGGAGGTAGACGCCAGTTTACATTAGTTTTCAAGCGAAAAGCCTGCGACAACCGCACCTTCCCACCAGCGTAAAAGTCGCTCTCAGACAAAATGGTGGGCAAGTCGTTCTGCAAGTGCAGCATCGGCAACGCAAAAAACGGCACACAAGACGACGCATTTTTGGACACGGGCAGCGATGAGCGCTCGTCGTCGGACGAATGTTCCAAAGAACTGGAGAAACGTCCGCGCTTGCGTTTCGTTGCGTGCAAAGGCAAAGCGGTGCAAAAAAAAATTAACGTGCCGCAATTTGTCGTTGGGCTGTATTCGTCAGATATCTTTTTTTTTCCCCAGGCAAAAATGTATATTTTCTCGTTGAAAAAATTTTTTTTTTGTTTTTTCACAATTTGTAATTTAGCAGTTCGACCCATATTCCAATTCTTACGGTACATACCGTATATGGGAAATGGTGGTTTATAACCTTGTCAAAAGCTCAAGCTCAAGCCCAAGCCCCCCCCCCCCCCCACCAAAGACTGATGTGCAAAAAAAAAGAAAAGAAAAGTCAATGGAACTGTTTCATAGCTACCCAATAAATGGTTCCAGTGCATTCTCTTGTCTTAGGAGATTTCAAGGGGTTGTAAGTCAAGCGGTCTTAAGTGTGTGAACCAGCCCTAACATTCTGTAAAGTTAAGGAAGAAGGCTGAGCAAAGGTAAGCTATAAAAAAGATCGAGCTACACCTAAGCATTCCTTACGAAATGTGAACGCAAAATCATGCAAGCCGCTCGTTTGCTCCCTTTTTCGTCTGCTGCATACTTTTCGTCGCCGGTCAGCGCGTGTGCTCCCCTGGGCATGGTGACCTTGGACGCTCCGTGCCCAGGGGGGCAACGGTGCGCTGATGGGCACGCAGCGCCATGGGGTGAGCGGTCGTGGAAACTGACGAGCGCAGCGGCCAATGAGAGCCCCGTCGATGCGCGCCAGCCAACGGAACCGAAAGATCGAGGAAACTATCTGCCGTTTTCGCACTTAAAACTGATGACGTCAGCTCGCTCCATGAGACCAGCTAATGCTTTCGCATTAAAACAATGCGAGGTCCGCGACGCTTTGGACGAGGGTTCACCGGCATCGACTCCACACGTCACATAAAACTGCCCTACACCACTTTTACTTTACTTTTCCGAGTCTCTCTGATTTCCATAAAGAGTGTTTTGATTGGATTATATTTGGGGCTCGCTGCCCGGCACTTTTCTATCGCCAACGCAACGACCCGATTAATCTTCCGTCACCCAAATCTTTCATTCGCGGCGCCGTGAGTCGACTCACCGGGCGTTGGCGACGGGGAATCCGTGTCCTTGGGATCGTCCCTATTGGAAGGGTCGGAGGAGGGCGTGCTGGGTGCCCCGCTCGTCTGGGGCGGACTTTGGGCGGCCGGGCTCAGACCTGCAAGTCGGAGAAAAGGCGGCCGACGAGTTCAGGTAAATGCTAAACGAGGTATGTTGTGTGCATTGCTCTCCAGTCTCTCGAAGACTTTCAATCTCGATTGAGAGGCTAAGACAAACAAAAAGCATTCTACAGGGTGTCCCCCCCTCCGCCAAAAAATGTACAGGGTTTTTTTCACCGCAAAAATAAACTATGCTTCGCGGAACGCTCATTTTCCGCCCAAAGGTAGCATTAGCGGTTCGTACCGGATGCCAAAGTTTCAAAACTAACCGTAGTCTTGTTCAAAAGTTATAAGCGATTTTCTTAAATATTCAATGGGAAAATGGTGGCCGACAGAGGTCTCGAATATACAAAGCTGAATAGTGCAAGCGGGAACAGGCCCTATTTACCCATTAGGAATTCTACGTAGCTGTGACGTCGCACAATGGGATCACGCAACTCTACTGGATCACACTAGGGATGTACGAATAGTGATTTTTCAGCTCGAAGCGAAAACTAAGCGAATAGTTCCTTTGTATGAATAATTTTGAAGCAAAGCGAATAGTTTGCGGCCGTCAATGCAGTTGTGATAGAGAACCCTTGAGACTGGGGAACACAAAGAGAAGTAAAAGGATAAACTTTACAAGGCCTGAAGAGCTTCCTACCATGATCGTTTGCCAGCTCGCCCATGCAATCTCTTATTTCAATACAGTTGTGCCTCATTAATATGAACATTTCAGTTTCCCGGGAAAGTTGTCCATGGCAGGACCACGATGCACGACACATTCTAGACATGATTTCGGGGTTTCCGGCTGCCCATGGCATACAAACGTGTTGAACGCGTGTAAACAATGGGTGCATTACGAAATTGTTTGATTCATTGTACGGCATGGTGGTGTAGGCACCGTTCGATCCAGCTGTCTTCAAAGAAAAAAAGAAAACATGTGAAAGATGACGGGGAACGCATGCAAACTGTTTTCGTTAGATTTTTTTGTTTTTTTTTTTTGTTTTGTTTTTTTAGTCTGAATTAAGGTATGTTTTGCAGCATTTCAAACTTCGAAATACTTCGAAGATAACCGAAGTTGCCAAATAGCTGTATTCTATTCAAATCAAATATGGTGTTATTCACTTCAGTATTTGAAAGTTTCTAATATTTGCACAACTTTCACACGACAACTACAGTGGTCATGTGACCATGTATCTTACATGATCACGTAACCTAAGGGAGGGAACCTGCGTGACACCATTTCCTAACACTCTAGATGGAAACAAGACGCATTCCGTATTAAAACTGAAAGCCCCGCTTACTACGGTGTCTTTCCTTCATCCCGAGCCGGACAAAACTGGCTCACCCGTGGATCGGATGATGGCTACTGGTCGTGCCATCGGGGCTGGGGGCGGAGGTGGCAGCATGGAGCTGGAGTAAAACTGGGCCAGCTTCGAGGGACTTCGCACTCCGGAGTCGGGGCTGGGCTAGAGGTGAGACGGAGAGTGCGGCTCAAGGACATGTCCACGCAGAAACGCGGAACACGACCGAGCACGAAACGCCGAAAGCCCACAACCAAAGCCACTGTGCGCGGATGCGATGGCAGTGTCTTTGCACCGCCATCACTTGTCTTGCCGGTGTGTGGATGACAAAATCTCGGTGTTCAAGAAATGTCTTTATAAAGCAAACTGTCACCGGGAATTCGGATTGACTCCCCAAGAATGGAGGGGTCACGGAGAAACCGTCTGTTCCGCAAACCGAAATGGCGACCATACAGGGAGCTTGGCATTACTGATCCAGTGACTTTAGTTGCCGTAGTTCGTGTCAAAGCATGAACACAGGCTCCCAAAAAGTCTGGTCCGCAAAACATGCACTCGAAAACATTCCAAATCGATTGGACGCGGCTGTACATATAAGTTCGGCCTCCAAATTTTCCGTGTAAGCTCGGCGTGTCACGTTTCGCATGTATGTGTTTGTACGGCACTTTAACCCTTTGAGTGCCACACCCGAGTGTACTTGGGCACGCCCCCATGCAGGTTTCAGTTTTGATTCACTCCCTACCTTTCCCAACTGTTTGGCCGATTTTACTCTTACGTGTAGAAGAATATTTCATCTCATAATAACACTTGTTCATGGCACGTGGAAAGTTTTGTTTAGGAGACTTCAGTCTTGGGTTGCTACTTCGTTGTTCCAGAAAAGCGAACCGATGTCATTCAACCTCGCACTTTACGGCAAACACCGAGATCTAAGAATTACTAATGAACTAATTTAGTAATTAACTAAGTAAGAGGTTCCAGCTTTGAATATAAAAAAAAATGTTGGTTAAAGCCACTCAAAAACAGTGACCACAGGGAGCAAGGCCGAGGTGCTACTTTGCGTAATATCGTGTTTCGAAAAGTACAATTTGAGAAAAATATGCTAGCTTGAAGGCATACAGACATTAATTAGCTCTGGGCCCATAGTTCAGTGTGTCATTGATAAATACACATGCATGTCGATCACTAGACTGTGATCGACATGCGGAAAAAAAACCCGGCACTCCAAGGGGTAATTGTAACTAGATGCAACTAAGTTTGCGAGCCTTCATTTCCGACGCGCAGCACTTCGCCAAGCTGCGCCTCGTCTCCCGCCTCCGGGCGATGGCACCGTGGCGACTCGCTGCGGCGGGCGTGCCTCACCTGTGAACTGGAGCCCGTGTTGTGAGCCTCCTGACAGACCAGGTTCACAAAGTCCGAGAAGGTGTCCCCGTTCTCCTGGTACTTCCCCGCGGGGTGGATGTAGTACGACCCCGACCCTGCCGGGAGCTGGCCTGCCATGCCCAGGGGGCTCCCCTGGGGCCCCCCCGGAACCCCTGTTCCCAGAAGAGAAACAGCTCGGTTGCAAGGGGGGCAAGGACGCCCTGCTTTTCAGTCTGCTCCAAAGTTTCTCAGGAACACAGTATGCACAAGGTTTGACAAGCTGTCTGGCCTGACATAAACTCGGCTAAATCTAACCTTGACTGCACTAACCCAACTCAGCATAGCCTGAGGTAACTTAACCTAATCTAGCTTAGCGTTGACTAAACTCTTATTCCAAACTAACCCAACCTAGCCTGAATTCCTAACCTATCCTAGCCTTAACAAACCTGGCCTAACTTACCTTAGCCTGAACATACCTAACCTAAATTAGCTTAGCCTAACCTAACTAGACTTAACCTATCGTAGTATAAACTATCACATCTAACCCAACTTAGCGTGAAGTAACTTGTTAAAAGCAGGCTTAAGAGCCGCTCTAAACTTAAAGCAAAGGAACCAGGTCTACCTAAACCTTGTTTAATTAAAAAAGGAAAAGAAACGAAACCAAAATGAAAGCCTGCCAAAACAAAAAGACAATCTCGTGGAATGTCACGCTGGAAACGGTAGAGCAGCAATGGTAAGGCATGCACAACAGCAACCTTTGCAGTGAAGCAAACGACAAACAGGCGAGACGTCTGAACTAGAGAAGAAAGAAAGAAGCCAGGAAGAGGAATTGGAGGCAAAAGCAGGAAGAGATCAGCCCCAAAGCTCAAGCAAGAAGACAATACTATGCAACCGTGGAAAGCATGCTGTCAGTGCAGGCTGAACCACTATCACGATTCTGCCGTCTCAGTCGTAGGATTCCCTTCAGTTTTGGCAGTCCGAAGCATGCAGGGCCGTTATGTTGCAGTGTTCGGGAGCAGGCCTGCAAAATATTTCTCAGCATTTTCTTCTCCTCTCTGCAGTCTTCAACTAAGAAGAAAAAGCCACCCATTTTTGGATCTTCGGGGGAGGAGATGAATTACAAGGAGTACAAAAGCGACATTCGGGCTGGATACGGATTCAGCTAACCTGCCTGCGGCTACCATGAAAGGAAAAAAAGTATCCCTCCCTAGGTTTGCTTTCAAGGGCGGCGGTGGTTCTTCCATCAAACTTCTCCATAGCCCTCGGGATCAATGCGGTCAACACTCCAAATCGAATTTGGGTGTTTCACGTGATAAACCAAAGGAAAACATCTGACACGTCGCAGCGGAGGACTGAAGATTACTTTCGACAGCCCGGGGTACACTTTCACGTACAACCGAAACTTCGGCTACACCTTCTCCGCAAAAGGCCTCCGTCAGATTGCGGGCACTCGACCGGGATTCAAACCCACCACCGGGGGGTGTAGGCCGGCACTCTGCCTCAGAGCAACCGAACTGGCTGACCAACACCCCCAACTTTGTGGAAACGCTATGCGCTGGACAATACGGTTGCGACCGTATTACGACAAATCCTTCCTCCCCGCTCGCTACCGCGGTGCGTTAGGCCGAGCTCCGCACCCGAGAGTGTGCAGCAAGCACGAGCTGTGCCGAGAAGGCAGACGGGACAGAGACGCGCCAGCTCCAGAGAAGAAGGAGAAGGAGAAACAGATTCGTTTAAGCATATCCGAATCACAGAGAGAACTTTTTTTTTTTACTTTCGGTTTTTGTGTACTCACTGGGGTGTGTCGGGGGGGGCTTCAGGTCCCCGCGCCCCAGTGGGAAGGGGGGTGCGTTCTCCATCTTTATTTTTGTGTGTAGCGGAAGCTGCCCTGCAAACACAAGCACACTGCCACGTTCCCACCGAGATCCCGATAAAGCGGCGCTTCCCTGGCCAACCTCGCGAAAGAAAGGCCACGCGTTTGCGGGAAACGACCTCTGTTCGGAGGTTAGTCTCTGCTGCTCGAGCAGATGGTGGAAGCCGTGCGTTGGCCATGACGTAACGGTTGCCGACAGAGTGAAAACGGCAATGCGCCTCTTTCGAGTGCCCTGCCTCCCGCACCTGCTCATTGCCATTCGCCGTGCTTTGGCTGTTCTCATCCTTTCAGTGACTCCCTCCCTGCCATTCTCATTCTTTCAGCAACTATAGGAGCGCGGTTAAAGGGACACCGAAGACCGATCAAAGTAATTTGCTTAGTTACGGTGGACGTTACTCGCCTCCCGAGGGCGCAACCTACCACCCAACTTTTCCTAGAATTTCCAAGACAACTACTTCATAAATTAAGTCGGCAGCTGCCACCTAAACTGAAACTTCTGTCAAAGGTCAGGGAAAGAGAAAGAACAAGAAAGAGGGACGATGCGATCGATTCGTTGGGCAAGGAGTCGTCCGCTTTTGTCACGACTCGTTAAGCACCGTCTGGAATGATCCTGCCATGGCTTAGTAACATGAAATCTGAAAGTTGATTCAGTGTCCCTTTAGCCTTTGCAGAGCTAAGGCCAAGTCTGATCATCCTCTGATGTCTACTTTGTTTTAACTCCTCCGAAAGCTGCAGGCACTGGGTCGCACCTTCTTAAGGTGCCTTAACTTTTAGAGCATGCACAGGCACGCCATCTAAAGGAGCTACTATTCTAAGGTATCCAAAAACTACTAAATGGAATACAGACAAACAAGAAAATTTAAGGCACTAAAAGGGTTCAGCAGCTTCGGAACTCAAGGAAAAGTTTATGGCAGCCATGCAAGCACAGGTGTACTATCTTTTCAAAGTTCACCCCAAACAAAATTCTCAACCACGAACCGAATGTCGTAAACATTTTTGCATCTCTACATTATACACATACATACTTAGTATATGTACTTAGTATATATACAAGGTACTAAAACACGCTATTTAACAGTGTATCTAGACAGTCTCTTTGGCGAGTTCAGGGAGATGTATACTGTAGAAAGTGGATTCTCCAAACTGTCTAGCTTGGACATGATTACGAGATCTCCTTCGCCACAATTGCTGGAATTGATAACAGTTCTCTCGGAGTGCGGCAGGCTACAAATATGCTCCAACTGAGTGATGGGTTGTTAAATACAAGCAAACGCAATCTGCACGGACACGCCGGCACCCGAAATGACACTAATACCTACTGCATGTCACTAATCTGGCATCGAAGGCATTGGAGTGATGATGTTGCAGGAGATCCAGATTGTCAAGTCTGTTTTGTTGTCCTTCAGCGTCTGAATTTTCGGGAGAAATCCGACAGGGAAGCACAGGATAAGCCTAAATTGCACTTTAGTTTTTTGCACAACCGTCAAAGAGCGCCCCAGCCTCCGACGTCACACTAGTAACTACCATATTTACTCGAAAATAAGTCGACCACAAATATCGATTGATGCCTTTATAATAAACTCGCCGAGAATAAAAAAAAAAAAGTTATTTCAAAAATAGGTCGACCTTTTTTTTTTCTTTTTTTTTTAGAGAACAGAGGGAAGTTTTGGCAAAAGAAACAAACCTTTATTTACAGCGCCCCCACCTAAATCACAGCGCAATGCCAAAAACTTAATCATTGTGACAACTTCTCGATATGTTATCGTCATCGGAAGCTTCGTCAGCTTTGTACACATCCTGACCAATTCGCAGCAATACCTCACTGACACCGTTGCAAAGTGACGACAACAAGAAACGAAAGAAGATGTAGATGGGCGAAGCGACGGAAGGCCAAAAGGCGCGAGCAACAACACCCGATTTGCAAAAATTTGAGCCCCCGAAAATTAAGTCGTTTACAGTAATTCACAACTTATTTTTAATGTGTGGAGAGAAAGCATACTGCTGCTTGTCACACTGGCTTCATTCGCACTTATGTTGAATCAAGGTATAGATCAGGGGTGGCCAGACTGACCCGGCCTAAGAGCCGCAATGCCGGGGGGGGGGGGGGGGGATTTTGTTTAGAGCAATAAACGAAACTCAAACTACTTTCAATCTATCAGAGTCAAAAGCAGTCCTACTGTACGTACGGTAGCAGTAGCTCAAGACTACCAAACCGCTACTTGTCTTTCGATTTAAAACGCATTCCATTTCTCTTTTTGGGGAAGTGCTCGTGTGACCGGGAGGGAGGCGGGTCTGTGTGTATCTGTGTGTGTGTGAGGGGGGGGGGGGGTTAGGGGAGGGAGCCGCAAGCCGCACTTTAACACGTGAAGAGCCGCATGCGGCTCGGCCACCTCTGGTATAGATTTATCCACATGCTCGCGTCCGCAGCCACGAGAGCATTGCAACCTTATGAACTTTGTGCAAAACAAAGCATGGTGCATGAGCACGTACGTCACACTTGACGAGCGAGCGTACTCCGCAAATTCGCACGCACCCGTAAGTGGGACCAATGCCGACGCTCCAAGCACGAGCAGGAGCAGGTCGTTTTGAATGACGCTTCTTCCACGGCACGGGCATCCGTGCATGCCAAGTTGGCAGCGTTGTGATCGCTATTCCATCGCTCGCACTTACGGTGGAATGGAGTGCAGAGCTCGCTCTCAACAGCTATCCTTCTGCATTCTGGCGAGCTTCGTACAGAGCACCTACGTCGCATAATTTTGCAGCTCCCATCGGGCTAAAATCTTTTCAACCGATTCGGGGAAGAAAGATCTTCCGAGGTTCATTTTCCGTACCAGAAGGAACACCGAAAGGCTCTTCGGCCGACTTTTCCACGGGTGCGGCAGCCTGTTAGCTGCGGCGTAGCAGCAGCCTGGGAAAGTAATGGCGATTGGAAGTCCAAAACCGAAAGCAGGATGTCACGTGACGACTGGCCAATAGTGTGCGCAGTGGCTTGTTCAAAGAATGGCGCCACTCTTCCCAAGATACAGGGGCTTTAAGGGACACGCATGAGCGGCTCTGGCCGCGGACAGGTGCAAAACCCGATGCCCGAGGGATGCTCGCAAGTGGCGGCCACGGTGGGCGGTCCACCGGCTGCTGCTGTTTCGGTTGTTTTCGTGTACCAAAAGCTTTCTGAAACAAGAAGCGGCGCAGCTCTACGACGACGCCACTTGGTCACTAGCTCGCTGACTCGATAGCTCCATGCCCTCGAAAGGATAGCGAAATTTGGTGACGAATGGAGGTCGAAATTCTTTAGTCACGATCATAAGTCGACCCTTAATTTTTGACAACATTTTCGAAAAGAAAGGTAGACTTGTATTCAAATAAATACAGTACTCATAGACGGAGCACATCTCATCAAATACACTGCGCTCGATTCAAACATTTTTATACGCTCCAGACGCAAAACAAGCTTGCCAAGGCTAGATAGTTCCTACCTTATTGCTCTTTTTCTTTTTCTGAGACAGATTAATTTGTCTACATACTTCATATTAATTCAACGTTTAATTTAACTAACGTAGCGATGTGGGCGAGTGGGGAGTAACGCACAAAAAGACTCTAGACAAGTTAAAAGGGATCGGGCATGACAAGCACCTCCCTGTCTGCTTCTAGTTTACTTGCTCTAGGTCTTTCTTTTGCGCATTGTGTATTTCTCTGAAAAAATACAATTTAATTTTCTTTTTTATCTTGACTGAATTTAATATTAAATGTTACGTCGGAGAAACTTTGGTAGGCTATTACCAGGCGCACTTCAGCACGAGCGTTAGTGGGCAATCGCGAAAGAATGTACAGCCGCAATGCCAGGGCAGCCAGCCGCCAGCTATTGCATCTGCTGCACCGGCCAGAGTGAGTTACTTGTCTCTCTCTGCGCAGAATTTCATGCATAGCCATGCACAAAAAAGAAAAAAAGGAGTGCAGAGCATCAAAGTTGTTTCGAAGGCAGAATCCTAAGGTTTCTCGGCACATTCAGACTCTCCATATCTAAAGAGCCGCGACTAGCTACCTGTCCCGTAGCTCCCTATTTGTAAATGAGCGTGCAATTCAGGCGGTAATTTTAATGGCCGACTAGATTTTCAGGTCGCAGCAACTGCACATGGCCGACAACACTATTTTGGCCACGAATGGCATACTTGTCCGCCATTTTGTTGAACTGTGCATAGAAAATTGTCTACATGCACCCTCGAGCAATGCTTTCGAATAAATTGACAGAGTTCGATCCCAACTTATCCTTTCTTTGCCTTTTCTTTGGGGGCGACTGTGGTGACGGCCATTGAGAAGCAAAATTTTAGTTTTTGTCTTCTTGCTGCCTCTTTTCCGTAGCCAAGGTATAAAGACTCCAATGTGAATATTCAACAGAAACCTGTCAAGTGCCTAAATCAAATATGCGCCACAAAAGGATGACTGCAAAAGCCGCTTTAGGGCCCTCATAAAGGGGAGCTCCGGCGTTTTTCTGAGCTACCCAATCTAAACATATTTTTGGAACACCCAGGCTTCACTGTTCTCAGCATGCTATTCTTTTTTGCTGAATTCGCACTAGCTATTGGGAGAGCAACAAATAAGAGCGATGTCAAAACAACCGTTTGAATTTTTGTACACTCTCCATCTCCGGTGGGGCGACGTCATGCATTGTATAACTTGCAAGTCGAGCAGGCACTCTAAACAACATGGTATTTACACGTTTTCTTGTTTTGCTGGTGCAAACTTAACCAGCATTCATTTCAAGCCATCAAATTTCTTGTAACCCGTCAGGAAAAATCTCTGATGGCCCTATATTGCCCTGCATTACAACATGGATGGATGGACGGATTAACGGCTGTACCTTTTATATCGGGTGGTAGCTTGCGCCACCTAACCTAGAAGTTAAGAACCAAAAGTATAATTTCTTTCCTTCACCAATTTGCTTACTCTATGCAATTTCGTAACCCACCACGCTCTCGTAACTCATCACGAAAACGTGATGACATCTGTCATCACGTTTTCAGTGTTGCTAGCGGAACCTCTAAGCCTCTCGTAGCACATTTGAAACTTCAATCGTTTTGCTAAACAATAATACCGTGACTTACGATTCAGCTTACCAGCTCAGGTGCATCTAATAATATGTTTAACCAATTTTGAGGCAAGTCGGTGACTATCAAAAATTCAAGCAGACGGTGAGAAGAACAATCTCAAACCGAGAGAACAACCTCTGGCTCCGCAAAAGGCCGCCACGACATTCCGAAGCGCGCAGTTTAAGCCGGCTAGGCGCATCCACGAAAACAGCGTCGCCGCGATCGCCGCCGCTCACCGTGATCGACGTCCGGCCAGGCGGCGGATCCGTGGTGAGCGTAGAAGTGAGCGACGTCCTTGTCCGGCGGACCCTCGTCCTCCATGGAGGAGACCCTCCGGATCCGCTTGGAGCGCGGCTCCGACGGAGGACTGCCCGTCGGGGGCCGGAGAGTCGGTCCGGCTACGCCCGCCAGTGGATCCGGGGGAGACGCGTAGCTGTAGTAGGTCGACGGAGGCTCCAGCTTGACCGTCTGCAGCGGCTGGTGACCGCCCCCGTTGGACGGCTGCAGCACCGAACCTGTTGCCCGGTGGCGGAAGGAACCGCCAACTGTCGGTTAAGCAGAAACTAGCAACATGGACGGCTTCAATGTTGCAACTATTACAAAGCATTCGGGCTGGTTTGGACGTTGGCGTCCGGATGCGGCCGACTGCGTTACAACCGCTTGAGCCGCGGCCGCGCGTAAGTCGGACAAAAGACGGTCTGACGTGTTTTCTTACTCGTACGAAGGTCCCGTTTCGTCCATCGTGCAAAAACTGTCTGCAGACGTGTTCAAACGTGCCCGAGGCGCGTCTCCAGATACTTCTGTTGTCGTGTCTGCGGCAAACGCCGTGTTTCATGTGTGACTGCGGCTTCGTGGGTGCTTGCAACGAGAAGGTTGTTATGGCAACCAAGGTCTGTGCAATGCGACGCTGGCAGCGCACTCGGATGTTGACGTCTGAATCGGCCTTTAGTCCGGTTGCACCATGCAGCGCAGGGTGAAGAGGCACGCTTTATCAGGGCATAGGAAGGTGACTCCCACAGAGTTGCTGCATTGGACAACCTAGCAAGCGACAATTTTCCCTCGAAGCTGACAAAACGTCGCTGTGCAATTCTAGCTGTTTGAAGTTTTAATGCAGTATAGTGTGGACACGAAGCTGGACTTTCTAATTTCGCTGGGTAAAAGGGAACCCTAGAATACACTTCCACGAATGAAGCATCTACCTTGCTATGTTTGGGTGCCAATTTTACGGAAATATTTCTCAGTATGAAATATGCTTGGGAATAGTTTGGACAAAAGCATTGCTTTTGTATGTTTCATTTGTTTACTTCTTCCCAAAACTATTTTGTGAATTGCATGGAGCTGTGGGGGAGCCAAGAGTACTCCCAAAGTGTTCAGCAGCTGGTAATACTAGCTACATATGCCAAAGCCAATTCTGACAATGCCAATGCCATCTATAGTGAACCAGCCATACCTCCAGTATTGTTGAACACATTGCCGATGTGTATGGTTTCGCGTTTTTAGTGGGTTTTTTTTTTTCCTCTCAGAATTGGGGGCATTTTTTAGGGGGTTAAATTTTCTCCTACAAACTTAGTGTTTTTTGTGTAAATTGGTAAAGTCAAAACCAATTTACACAAAAAAAAAAAACGAATCTGTAGGAAAAAAAATAACCTTCCCAAAAAATACCCCAATTTCAAAAAAAAAAAAAAAAATGAACACCAAAAAAGCGGAATTCTACTGATGTGTGAAACTTTAGTCAACTTCATCAAACAAAATTTTCACTATCACTACAATCACTATGTATCAATAATAGTACATAGTACAGTGAACTATGACGACTCATTACTTGCGAGGCTATCGTGACACTGGATGCAAAACAGTTTGCCTTGTCTAGTCATTCCGATGTTCCATTTTGTTATTCATGTTTTTAAGATCTATACTGACATTAGAGTACTGAATAGTGACACTTAAAATAATTATCAAGCACAGAACAGTGTCCACTTTAACCTCTGGCTTGCTGTTTCTCCACAGCGCTCTGGGCAACCATTCCCGCGTTAAATGCATGGTCGCTTTAGAGTGGCGTACACATGGAACTCCACATCCAACCACAAGCATAAGAAAGAAAAAGAGGATGCACAAACTGCTGCGTCAAGTGGGCCCGGCTCGAGGTGCTTCTCGGGCAACAAGCAAGACGAACGGCGCACCGATCGCTCCACGCCGACGGATGCACAACATTAAAAGCCTCAAACCAAAAACCCTCCCCCCCAACAAAGAAAGAAAAGAAAAAAACCCAGCCGAAACGCAATTTGATTTTGTGTTGATCCAAAGCCACAGCCGATGCAACCAACACCCCACTGGGACTGGATTTTTAACACACCCAGGTGCAATGCATTCACACAAACACACACACAAAAAAAAAGCACGAACAAAAGTAAAATAAAAGATGTGAGGTCACAACATGACCGTGGAGACGAAACAAAAAAGAAAATAGCGGGCGGGAAAGTGCAACCACCAGTCGTCCGCAAAACCAGAACCCCACCGGGTGCGCAGAAAAGCCCGCGTCGGTGCAATACGCGGCGGGCCCGCAAAAGAGGTTGCGGGTGCCGCCGCAGCGTCTAACGGGCAAGGGACCGTCCTCCATGCGACAATTTACGAGTGGGGGGGGGGAGAGGTACGCAGGAGGGCGAGGGCCAATCAAACCTTCCCTTACCACTGCTTCTGGAGCTGTCAAACACAAAGGCCATTGTTTGTCGCTCCAGGAAATCTTCCTTCATTTCAGAGAGACACTTGGCTGCAAAGAACGAGGGAGAGAGGAAAACAACGAGGGGGGGCGGTAGGGCATTTGTCACGGCCCCTAGACAAAAGATAGGGGGATTCCTACCCTCCACACCATGCCTCGTGTGTGTGTGTGTGTGTCCCCCCCCAGTTCCCCCCGTGGTACGGCCCCCTCGTTTTCGGCTGGCCGTACGTCGTAGGGGACTGTTCTTATGTGGGGGTGTTCTCGAGAAAACTGGCCTCACGATATTCACCTTTCGAGAGTCGGTAGAGTTCGGCCGACGTGAAGACGCCCGTTGCGAGTATGCTGGTGGCATCACCTGAAGTGGAAGCGCGGCACGTTAGGGCGACGACATTCCCCGGAAAATGAAGAGAGCGGTCACGACTGATCTGTTAATTGTCTTTCAGTCGGCGTGACCTGATGACACTCTTGCGTCATTCTTAGCATCCTTCAAGCCATGGCCTCATTGCTCATACATCGTGCGAAAGACATGGCGTTCCCCGCAGGCGTGACGTCCTGCAGACACGCGTCGCGCATGTTCGAAGCATGTTTGCTTCATACCTGTGCATGCTCCAACCGCAGACAGTGTTTTTGTACGACCCATGTGACCGTCATACAAGGAACCCGCCTCAGACGCTGTCTCCAGACTGCCTTTTGTACGATGCATTGGCAGTGTGAGTGCAACTTTGCTCTTTCATCTCGCCGACTCGTATGTTGGAACGCTCGTTCAAAGTCTGCTAACATGTCAGCTTTAGAACAGCTGGAGTTCTACGATGAAACCCTGCAGAGTCAAGTTCCCTACGGGAGAGACGCTCAGCTAGCCCAGCAATAAAAAAATTAGGCGACTACGACAGAACTCACTAACCGTTTTAACGAAGCAATGGATTGCAAAAACAGACTTCACATATCAAGCATTAAAAATAAAAACCCTTCCCATTGCTGTTTTACTGCGGAATCTTTTGAACGGACAGATTTCTTTACTCACAATTTTATGTGGATTTCCCTCGGCGGATATGGAGAGGTATGAAAGCACTCCGCGCTCGCACCTTTATTGTGGTAGACGCGAGAGCGCTCTAGCGCGCCCGGGAAGGTGCCAACGAAAAAGTGCTCCGAAATCACTCCAAACCCAAAAAGGGAATTCCCAATTACTGAAAACTCAGTGAGGGCACAGGCGAGCTGGTGTAAGTTTACCATTTTCTTAAGACACCCGAGACTGGGTGAGAAAATCCTGAAACAACCAAAACTAGAAGAGACAGGGAGAGAAGTCAGTCAGACGACGTCTCAAACCAAAACTAATATGTTTATTCAGTAAACCTCTTACATACACTTTGAAACCAAGGTTGTCGCCAACCACCACAACAAAGAAAAAAAATGTGAAACCAATGTGATGACCTTGGTCTCAAAGTGCATGTAAGAGGTTTACTGAATGAATGTATTAGCCAAGTTTGAGATGTCGTCCAACTGACTTCTTTCCCTACCTCCTTTACCTTTCATTGTTTCGAGGTTTTCTCACCCAGTCTCGGGCGTTTTAACAAAATTCCAATTACTGTTGCAGAAGAAAATGCTGTTACTGCCATCCTGATTTCAGTTATGCCGTTTGTTGATCTCCTAATAAAAAGACGTTAAAACCAATCATAAAAAAACATGCTGTTACTGTTTTCTTTCTTTCTTTTTTCCCATTCCTCACAGAATTTTTTTTTCATATAGATCAAAACCAGAGCTGTCACCCCACATCTCTGAGAAGGTGTCACTACCCCACGAGCTAGTGCACATTTTCATGCAAATCCTCTTACGTTGACCCGTCATGATCCTACAGTCAGTGACAAGTTAACATTGCTGTAGAAGCTCTGCCTCCAACACATATTCATTGCCTTCATGCTTTCGCTGCGCATGCTCACGAGATGATAAAGTGTAATCGAAGACAGAAAGCTTGTGCGAACGGCAGAGCTTCTACTGCGTTCTTAAAACAGTAAAAGTTGCTGGCCTAGTTAATGAAACATCTCGAAAACAGTTAGCGCGAAAGACAGGGACACGCAAAAGGAAAAGTACTTCATTCTCAACCTGTCGCCGACTGTAGAGCAACTCGGACCCCTGGCCACTAAGGATTTCGAGCTCTAAAGATGGGAAACTAGAAAGGGCTTCGAGTCAGCTCACCTCCGTCGTCTTCTTTCTCGTTGTCGCAGACACTGTCCCGGATTCCGCTTAGTGCATCTGAAAAACGAGCCAGCTCATGTCAATTCTAATAAATCTCCTCGTAAAGTTCGACCGACTGGTTCACAACTGGGTTTCCCTTTTATGCAAGTATCTCATCCATCAATTCAGCTGCCGCACCAAGAAATTATTTCGAAACAATTAAGTGGACTGGAACTTTTCGGCATACGTAGCAGCATATTTTTGAGGCCTACGGCATCTAAGGTAGATGGTCAATCTAAAATAGCAAATATCAGTTTCTCAATTTTCACACTTGACAAAAAGGGAGTTCACGTTCACAATTTTAGTATTTAACTTAACCAGCAAAATACACATTGAAAAAAGAACAAGGAAGAAAACCTCAGAACCTAATTTTCAGAAATTTTTAAGACTCGGAAGGCAGTGCAAGGAGGTCGGCACAAGAATATTGCTCCCAGGATAATGAACACGGGGGGTCATATGCATGGTGTATACTTTAAGCCTCACCACAAAGTGTTCAAGGAAGTGGCACAGCAATTCATTCATGTGTTATAGGGGCAGTCACTATTATGTATTTTAGAAGAAAATGAAACCGTATTTTTTGTACTCAAACTGCACGATTTATTCAGAGTAAACTCTATTGTAAACCCGGCATTACAGCTTGTGCAGTGGTTTTGTTTATTTTTATTTTATTCTGTTTTATTTAAGCTTCTCCGGGAGCATCAGTCATATCTCCTGTTTATGTTTTCATTCAAAACAAAAACCATGACATAACCTTTTTCATTTGTACTCTGAAACAAAGTAAAACAGTGAGATTCAAACTTTGGCTAACAAATGAAACAGAGGATCGGTTTAAAATGTTATTTTTTTCCTATCTGCACTTACAAATATAAATAGAAAATAAATTTAATATACAAAAAAAGAAAGTCGGTTTGTGCAACCTATGTTGATATCACCCCTATACCCTGAATCAACTTCATTCATATAATTACAGCCTTTTGTGAAGTAAACTTAGGAATTACATAATTACTTTTTTTTTACAGCGGAGCTGTTAAGGGCCAGTTTCCCCAGTTTCGTGTCCGTGGACAAATAAATCTCGACACAACTTGCCGGACAGCTACCGCCACCTATGAGCGACAACGGCAACCATACAACCGGCTTGCCGGTTGTCTGGTTGCAGTCGTCGCTCATAGAGGGCAGCAAACTTTCGAGCCTTTCCACTCTGGCTTGCGGCCAGCCATTACTTCATTCCCACCATAGTTCAGCTTCACTAGCCTTCCTTCTTCCCCAGAGTAAAAAGGCTGAAAGATCTTTTTTTTTTTTTTTTTTTTTTTTATAATTTAGAAGAAATAAGACAGAACTGACTTAAATACATTGAGCTTTGACACCTTTTTAGACCCTTGCATCATCTTTTTGTTACACCAATTGGCAATCTAGCTTGAGTACACTGGAATACTTTTAAGAGTACGATAGTATGCGAGTATTTGAAAATTTGTGTAGTATACCTAATTGTATAGTCATCTGCACTTTGCATCTAGATCTCTACTTGTGATTCCATCTGCTCCTTGATAGCTCTCCCACCCCTTATTATCATCAAAAAAGTGACCAGAGCAAAAGCTTTGAGCAAGCATATTTGAGACACATCATCATTATTATTATTAAAAAGTTGCGGATAATCACACAATGATGACATTTGTAGCATTGATACAAGAATAACTTGAGTTGTTCAAACATTCTTCCACTTCCAGTTCCCTCCTAACCTGTCACAGACTGTTTGTCACAATAAGCACATAAATTTGACAAAATTTAGGGTACAAACTTCGTCAAGGTAGCATAGCATAACCAGCAACCAAGTCTTCATAATATACCAATGGCCGGTTGTAAAGCAAAGATCAAAAGCGTATGCATATTCTAGACGACCCCATGCAACGGTCTGGTGACATTTATGACCATAAAATAACTTTTCTTTTTTTTTTTTTTTAAATTAGTGTTTTATAAATATTGCGATTCAATGAGATGAGGCTAAATTTAAATTTGGCTGTTTGTAACCAGAAGCGTAGTAATCAAGAAAGAACCATGACAACAACTTCTGTGAATGCCCCTACATGCTCCATATTGGGATTTTGCGGCACTACAGCTGCCAATTACCTGAATCATCACATCCCCCCGTTATGCGTAGTGCAAGTTCGTCTGCTCCTCGAGCAGGGGCTGCGGTAACGTCAGAACGCCGAGCTTCGATTGGCTCCGTTTGGAAGGATAGTGGGTAGACCTCGAGGCTGCTTGCTTTGAGGTCTACACTATCCTCCAATCAGAGCTCGGCATTCTGACATCACCACAACCCCTGCAAAAGAAGCAGACGAACTTGCGCTCCGCATTACGTGCAAGTAACCAATCTCTTCTGAATTGGGTGAGGAGATAACAATCTGGTCCCTTTTTATGTTTAATGTGCAGACTAGGTCATTACAGGAAAAACTGCCACATGCTCTGTATTTGCTGTGCCGGTTATGTAGTCTACGAACAATAAAGTCAAGGTCTACTGGGCGTTCTGAAACGATATTCGGTCTTTAAAAAAAGCCGTACAAATAGGTCAATAAACGGAGCGCCAATAAACTCGTCGCAAAGTTGGTCGCTCAGGTGCGTTTAACATTTATATTTTCGTGTTTTGTACTATATTTGCATTAGTGTGTCTTCAGTGCGATACTGTACACATTTGTTCCTTGTGGTGTTTTTGTGGAAGTGCACCAATCTACAGAACATTGTGTTTGCTTTTCGGCACTTCAAATAAAGATTATCCCTTATTATTATTATTAGCAGTATTAGTTTGTTCACCCCTTGACAGTCGTTGCCAAACACATACGGTGGCGATTACGCATTTGCTTGCCTAATCACAAAACCGCGAGCATCGCAGGACGTGTTGCTATTTCTTATAATTTTGGTGAACTACAAACGTTATCATTGCAAACTGTTACGCTCTGCTGGGGCTATTTATAATGTTGAAATATGCCCCATGCATGTGATACACGTGATATGGTCGCTTCCCAAATCGGCTGCTCTGGCATAGTGGCAACTGGAGCATTGGGTCTTTCGATTCAGACTTTTAACGCTAGTTAGAAATGAGTTCAGAGGATGAGGGCTCACTATCCGACGAGGAAGTTCTGTAAAGCACCTCCAATTCGGAACCTGGAACTGCACCGCCGGAATGTTGCGGAAGCAGGTGTGCCAATGTGAAAACCGAACAGAAGAAATGTGACAGCTCTTCGCCTCTAATATTTTCGATTCGGTGCTTGTAACCCTGAACAGCTGCAACCACCGTGAATGCTCTTGCAAGATAACTAAGAAAAGACCTGTGCATTGAGCCTTTCTTTATACTACTCCGTCAGAGACAAAACCTAACCACCAGGAAACATATTTTGGGAAAGACTCGACCGTCGAAGGGTTAACGTAGGTTCCTAGAAAACAAAAAATGCTAGAAAAACACGCTATTTCTACGCACGGGGGAAAAGCAGTAACAAACCGACCGGTTGGTGCTAGTCCTCGCAGATGGTGTTGCACAAAACAAAAACTTCAAAGCTTCCTTGAGATGCACACTCTAAAACAGATCCAAATCTGTGTGGCACTATCTCTGAGTAGCAGCAACAAACCACACAGTTTGTTTCTGGCTTTCTCCTTGTGCATAGGAATATCACATTTTTCTTTTCTTGCATTTTATTCTCACAGACCTACAGTCAAGAAATTCGAAAATCTCGTCTTGAAAATTCCTCCCTTTGTCCTTGTGTTTTTGCACGCTGCTACCAGTTATAATAAATGCACCGCCTAAAGACACATTTGCGAAAAGTTTCACTGCATTGAAAAGTTCATTGGCTCATTCATACGCCTTTCTTCACGACTGAATGTCGCTCGACAACGCCCAGTAGAGATTGTTTTATGGTCCGCTCAGACAAGTTGCAGTGCCCAGTCTGTTGCAGACACATACATCTCAATAAGGCACATAACTCTCTCTCTCTCATCGAAGTGTCAATCTGCCCTGCACTCACTATCTGCTAAGGCCCACTTCAGAATAACCAATTTTTTCCAGCATCTTGACGTTGCAACGCTAACAGCAAAACCTCAAATTGCTACATTTTGCCATCATCATAATTGAAATGGTAATTTTCTTGCACTATTTAGACATACAGTAACACATTAATACTATTTTTATTTTTTTTTATCTTTAAATGGCACTGAAAATACTAACTGATCTCCCTGAAATCCTTTAGTCGAGAAGACAATAAATTTCAAACCAAAACAAAGTTAAACCCCGTTCAGTCATCATTATTATTATCACAGAGAGGGGGCCACGCAAAAATATAGGGTTTCTCGTTGGCTGTGGCCGCATCAAACGTCTCCGAGCTGTTGGAGTCGCCAGCTCGTTCCGAGCCAGACTCGATCCCACCGATTTGCATTGCAGCGAGCGGATCTAAGGAATTATAGGGAACAGCTCGCCAGCAACCCCGAAATTGCACCGCCTGAAGCATGCCTAAATATATGGTGCCTGGAACGCATCTCCAACTGGTGTGCTTACTGCGTCATCAAAAGTGGTCCCTCGATTTTCGCGAGATGACATCATTAAAGTGTCAGGTTGTTGCCTGCTACGATCCCGGAGGTGGCATGGCAGTGGCAGCAGACGCCTCTTCTGCTGCGGATCGCTCTGCAGTCAGATGGTCGACGGAAACCGAGGCAGCGATGATGTCTGGGGGGTAAGGTGCAGGTCTCGTCTTCTAGATGGTACCGCACAGTGTCACCAGCCACAATCCTTCTGGTGTCACAGCAGCGTTGGAGGATGTGGCGGACACCTGTTCTGCTGCGGGTCGCTCTCCAGCTTGACAGTCGACGGACGTTTGGGCAGCCACGAGTTGGGACCACACGACAACAGCGACACTCGCGTTGGCTCATACTTTTTCCCGGTACTTCTAGTGCCAATCGCCAGGGTCGTGACATCCGACAGCCCTTCGATGTATCGGAAGGGTAGGATGCTAAACACACCAGCCAAAGACACGTTCCAGGCACTGTCTGCTAACGTCGGTCATGCCATCTGCTAACGGCGATCGCGCCGTGTCTGCTAACGGAGGCCGCGAGAGGACACAGGGGCTCACCGTGGCTGAGTATGAAGTTGGCCAGGTAGAGGTCCAACTCGCGGACGGACACGTTGATGTGGAAGGGGTTGACACAGAGGCTCGGGTGGTGGCAGTCGGGTGACTTCTCGAGCCGCTCCCCGTCGGTGCTCTCGAGGGGGATGGCCTTGAAGAGGATGACCATGACCAGGTCCAGACGCCAGACCTTGTCCGCCTGGCGGAGGCAGTCGATGCGCCGCATTTTGCCCTTCTGGTCCGGGTTGCTGAGCACGCAGGTGGCCCGCTTCTTGCCCGTGATGCCCAGCACAAAGTCCTCCCTGCACTCCTGGGTGATGTCCTTGCGGAGCTTGCCCAGAAGCCGGGAGGCCCACTTCTGCTTCACCTCGGGACGCTCCCCCTGCAAGCGGCGCCATCGACGGCCCCTCGTTTATTTTCGTGGCTTCCAGAAAACTCTTTTTCGGTCAGTCACCGGCTGGTTAGGTCATGGTTATCGTGGCTATCGACCCCTTGGGAACCTTTGTCGACCTCTGTTCCAGGCTCTTTATGGGCTCCATTCAGTTTCTATGCCCCCACCTCCAAGCTGACAATGCAGTGGAAGCTGCGTGCTCGTTTGGTCAGCCGTAAGTCTATTTCAGAATCAGTTTATTTTGTCTATATGTAGACGGCAGGGGTATGGGCAAAAAGTCAACACACGTTGGCTTGACTAGGCCCTACCCCCCTTTTCTTGGCAGAGGCGGATAAGCAAATTGTAAGAAAATAAAAACAAAAATCGATAATTATATATCGATAATTATATCTGTCAGCTTAGGAGTAAACGGGTTATTACCCCCGTCTCAGCACTTTCGTACAAGGCTGGTTGATGCACTTGTGTTTAGTGTTGTGTTACGACTGACTGACTGCTCACAAGAGAACACACTGACACAATAGTGCCGTCCATCACGTAACCCTGGAACACTTTCTACCAGCGCATAACTAGACTGAAGGTTTTGCAATATTTGCGAGATCAGATCTACGCACTATCTAGGAGAAATGGTGGCCTATAATACTGGCAGAATTATTTCAAGCCCACGGTGAAAGGATGAAGAGTAAAAAGCCGCAAAAATATATATGCAGATCTGAGACGTCGAGTCCCCTCTCATTTTATGTGCAACACACTCCATCAGACACATCTGAACCAACCTATCACATATTGGCCCTTTCCCTGCCCCCGTCCTAGGTCCAAATCACTTTTGATACTTTGAAGTAGGACAAAATGCCGAGAGTCAGTGCCAGCCCAGATATAATCTTGAAAACAAATTCTTGGAATGGGCACTTGTTACGTCCAGGAGCAAAAATGCAGAAAGGACACACGATAGTGTGGGCTTCACTGCTTTGCACCAGAGTGCTCGGAGAAGCGGCTGAGAAGGCTCGGTTGGCTAGGTGGGCTGAGAAGTCTGGGCTGAACACTTGATAGGCGGTTTGCTCAGTTTTAACATGTAAAGTAGCGGATGGGCACTCATTCTGACGTGGGCACATGCTTGGTATTTTACGGTAGCTGCAAAAAAGGTTGCACGGAACTCAAAATTTTACACCTCATACGTCATCTTGGGACTTTGTAGCCCGTCTCACACTAACCAGGCGGCATGCATGCGTCCTGCTGCCGCTTAAAAGTAGTCTCACGAAGATTAAGGAGTGGAGAGAAAGCAAAAATGAGCTTTGCCCTACTCTTATGATTGCACCACGGTCGGTGCTAAGCTCTAGAGAGAAAATAGAGCACGCATCTTTCCACCCCCTTTCCCAGGCTCCTTAATCCACAGCAAAGAAAACGGAAGCCCCTCATCACCCGGGGGGAGTACTTAATTTTTCATTTGACCCTCGACAACGGATACCTAAGTGCAAAAATTTCAGTTAATCAGACTATCATTCCGATTGCTTTCTCTCAACTTACTAAGGGTCACAACCCCAGCTGGGCCCAAATGCAAGGACTGTCGCCAACCAGGTCAAACCAGAAGCCCCGCCTCCAGATGGGGGCGGGGCCTCTTGGGGACGGCCCCACGCCCAAGTCTGCCTCTGGCCCCTCCCACCCACCTGAAGCTCTTCCTTGCACCGGCGCTCCTCATCGAGGCTCATGCGCTTCTCGTGCTTCTTGAAGTGCTTTCGCTTGGCGGCCTGGAGGTTGAACCAGGTGTAGGAGAAGGCCTTCACATGAGGCAAGAGGGCCTCAATGAATGGATGGAATTCATCCTGAAGGAAGCAAAAAGAAAAGGGGGGCTGGTCAGTGAATTTGGGGGAGGGGGAGGGGGGCAAGAAGGGGGGGGGGTCGGCCAAGGTGAGCGGCCGTGACGTAACATGCCGCGTCACAGGCGGACAACCTTGGTGCGACCGGAAGCGCGCGCTCTTCTCCGCCCGGGAACCTTGAGAGCTCACCCTCGCTCGCGCGGCGCTGTTGTGTGTGTGTGTTACGTACCAAAGGCATGCAGTCCCGTGAGAGCTGGGGAAGGCTACAGCTGGCCGGTATTCCGCAGGCCACCATCGGCTGCAAGCCGCTGGGCAGGCAGTACCACGAAGAGGGCCCTCCGCCACGACGCCTGCGAGACACGACGCCGATCAGCGAGCAGCAGCAGGAACGACGAGCGCGGCGGCAGCGGCAGTGGCCGTGGTCGGACCGCGTAACGGGCACGATTACGCGATCTGCGCCAAGGCCGACGCCGATAACGGCGTCAAGGTCCTCCCGCGCGCTGCGCACAGAGCTGCTTGCAAACAGTGGACGCTGCCGCGGGGGCCGTGCGCGGTCGACAGCCACCTTGGCCCTGGCAGGACCCTCCTCTCAGCAAGGAAGGAAGGCGGGGGGAACCGCCGCTCAAGCCTCCCCCCTCTTCCCAACTCGCGGTCCGGGGGGCAACGCGCACCGATCCGCAGCACACACGCTACTCACATGGGACGAGCGCTTTGCAAGACACGGGACGCGGGCGTCCCGCGACGGTGCGTCGTAGTAGCGGCGGTGATAACAAAACAAGCATCGCACGCTGTCCATGCCGAGATAAAGGGGAAGCCCCCAGCGCCCCCGTCCCGCGGGGTTACGGGCCGCGGCGCACCGACCCCGGAGGCAATGTCAAGGGCGGAAGCGGCCGGCGAATCCTGAACGCGGAAGCGCTGGCCAACGTCGGGGATCGCGGGCTTTCGCTCGCGTGCGGGAATGACGGCCGCTGGCTGCCGCTGCCAAAGGCCGCGAACTCCGACACCGGCCCTCTATTTTTTTTCTTCAAGGTTGGCGAGCCGCGGTTCCTCGCGCGCCGCGGCGCGCACACTCGCTCGCGAGGCGAGGACAGGGGAACCCGGGCCTCGGCTTCTCGCGGTGGGGTCTATTTCGGGGCGCGTCACGGGGCCCTCTAATTTCGGAGCCTCCTGGGCGACTCCAAATAGCCGCCGCTGTCCGGGACCGAAGCGACTCGTCCGTGCTTCCAGGGAAAGCAACGCAAGCTGCGCGCGATGCGTCATGCGCGGAGGACCCGCGGCGCGCGCGGGGGTCCGAGCCGCGGTCGCGGCCGCTTACCTCATGGCTGCGAGACGCGATGTCGGTCCGCATCGGCGGTCCACGGGGCGGAAGCAGGCGACGACGGCGACGGCAGCGCGCGGTTCTCGCGGAGAATAAACTGCGCCTCCAAGGATGCCACATTACACAAGGACAGTGCGGCAAACTGGCCGGCCTTGATCGAGCCCGTTCCCTTTTGGGAGCGCGCCCTCGGGACACGTTCGCCCATGACGATGGCTCACCTTGGAGCCGCTCTTCCGCGCTAGCACTCCTCCGTCCGCGTTCCGGCGGCCGCAAAGCGTGCAAGGTCGCTCGCCGCAAGGAAGCCACACACACGGCCAGCGCGCCTTTTCTTTTTTGCTTTCCTTTTCAAGGCGAGCACTCTGACATAACCGGGGTGCCCGCCGCTGCCAGCCAGCGAGGCGACTTGGGCTGGGAAGGCGTGCAAAGCGCCCGACAATAGCCCGCTGCCATGCTTTATGGCACGCTCCCGCCGCCGGCACGCGATTTACGACGTCCGTTGGGCCGCCACCGCCGCGGGGCAAACGGGCGTACGCAGTCGTTCCACGGCTAAGCGCGATCGGACCGAGGCGGCAGCTCGCCGGCCAACCGCGGTTGAGACTCCGAGCTCCGTTCGGCCACCACCACCGCCGCGGGGCAAACGGGCGTACGCATGTCGTCGCACCGCTAAGCGCGATCCAACCGAGCTGGCAGCTCGCGGGCCAACCGCGGTTCAGACTCCGAGCTCAAGTCTCGCGCGGTTAGCCACAAACTCCCCGAAACTGCGAGCAAAAGCACGCAGCCCGCCGAACGGCACAACCCGATCCCCAGTCCAGCTGTTTTGCACAGCGCGTAGTCGGCGCCAGAGAAGCGCAGCACACGAAATCGGACACCCCCCACCCCCTCGAGCACCCAAGAACACACATGCAGTAACTCAAGCTCCTTTCAAAGCGCAGAAAAAAAAAAAAAAAAAAAAAAAAAAAAAAAAATAGGGGGGTCTGATGCTGCATTTCCTACAAAGATCTCCACGGTGCGCGAAGAACCGACAATTAAAGTGCGGGGCAACAGCGGCTCCAAGCAGAATACAGCCTCGGGGCACGATCCAAAACGGGAAACGTTCCTCGGACTACCGGTACCCGAGCGAGCGAACGAGCCAGCCAAGGGCACCGCGGCAGCGCGGGTCTTAAGCCTAGCGGGCCGGAGTTTAGGCCTAGCGCTTCGACGGGACCGACCGAACGGTCACGCCCGCGCCGCTTTTCGGGAAGGGCCAGCGGGAGACTGTGCGCCGCCGCTTTTCCCTGGCTTCTGCCCAGAGAACGAGGCCGGCCCACGGGCGCGTGCCAGTTTTCGCCAGTGGCACGGCGCGCTCGCCAGCTCCGTCGCACCGGTCTCTCGGGAGGGTCAAACGCGAGCAAGAGGGGGGCAAGAGCACGCGGCTGTCCCGTTAGAGAAAGGGATCCCACTCACCATGCTCAGTGGGGTCCGACAGGACCGGACGTTTTCGGCCGAAGTAGCATCCTTTCGGGGGCACAGCGTTCACCGATTGGGACGGCAGAAAGGTACACGCAAATGAGACTTAAAACTTGAAAAAAAAAAGTGCTCGGGGAGCCGGCCACTTTGGCCGCCGACTGTTGTGCTGTTATCACAGAAAATACGCACACGCGCTCCTTCCGGGTTTAGAGTATATAGATATACAAAGAACAGAGCGTAAACCGAGCGGCAGGACGGGCGTTGAGGAGGGAGTGAGAGGGTGGTAGGGGGTAACCGGCGTAGGAGAGTAAAGAAAAACGAACGAGGACAAGGAAAAAAAAAAAAACGTCCTATCGATCCCAGGGAGTCAGCGACGCAGCGTCCGACGGAGGAACAGATGATGGCAGAGGATGAAGAGCAACTCAGCGGGTGCCCAAAACAAACAAACGTGGGAGAGCGAAGAAAGAAAGAAAAAAAAAAACACCTGCGCCAAAAATCAATGCGGATTTGGACTGTGGCGTAGTACGAGAAAATAATCGCAGCAGTCGCTGCAGTAGGTCTCTGGGTGTGCGAGGACGGCGGGGGAGGAGCGCAGCCCGGTTGCACTCGTCAATCATCTCGGCCCGCGACCAATGGAAGCGAGAGTGGTTCGTGACGTCAGAAACGTCACTCTGACGTCGCGTGGGGGCGGAGCTTGCGCCACGTGAGTCGCCGCGCGCGGTCGAGCTTTATGAGCCAAGCTTTCCCCGCCACCCCCTCTTTTGTCGCGCGTCTTTTTTTCTTCCTTTTTTTTTTTTTTTGGTTCGGCGGCAGCGGCGGCAGCGGCAGCGGCGGCGCGGCGCGGCGCGGCTGCTCTCCCCCTCAGAAAATGACAAAAATGGCTCATGTTGCGATTTTTACCGGGATAGCTAGCATCGCGGTTACCCTCGTCTCGGGGCGAGCCGGCGAGCCCACAAGGGCGAATGATTCGGACGGTGGTGACGCTCACCGAGAACATTGCGACAGGATTCGCTCGAAATACCGAAGGAATTTTCGTCCACCGTCTCCGACCGCCTGCGGTCGCGCACCGTACGAGCGCGCCAACGCGCATGCGCGGCTTCAACCGGACGATAGCCATTGGTTGGCCCTCTCGTGCGTATGGGAAAATTACGCTATTTCGCTCTTTTATCGGCGTAACAAATTACCTGCTAACGTTTTTTTTTTTTTTTTCCCCGAGGTTGCACGAAGTGCGTGCGCGCTCTTGTGCGGAGGCCGGGAGAACTGTGGCCGGGAGCTCGTTCGGGCTAAGTTCGGGGTTGAAGTTGTCGACTCGGTCGTTCGCCCGCGGAGGGACTTGCGCTCAAAATAGCGTGCCCGCTCGGCGCCCGCTGCCCGGAGTCGCTATGGGCAGGTCGTCGCCGCTTGTAGTACCTACCAGCAGAGCACACCTAGGCGACGACGCATCCACCGGCGTTCGCCGCAGGGACTCTGGCATTTCCGCCCGCTGCTTTCTTTTTTTCCCCCAAGGAGGCACGGAGGCGTTGCGGCCATTCATCATGTTACTCGGGGACAGCTGAATGGAATCGGAGATCTGTCGGTCCCGTTGACGGCAGCTCATTACGAAGATGCGGGAGCCGCAAAGACCCCCAGCCCCCCCTTGACGACTGCTTGCTTGAGTGGCTGCAAGTCGCACTATAGGAACGGGGTCATACGGTGCCATATTCGTGGGAAGGTTTAACGTTCGAAGCACCCATAAAAGAAAAAGATGGCAGTGACAGACCGCATCATTATCACCAAAAAAGGTCAATGACAGGCCTGCAATGCCACGGAAAAAATCATTGATGCATGTGAGGGCCGGTTAGTGCGCTGAACAGAAATTCCCACCAGAAAGTTATTCGTATATCGTTGTCGTAAGAGGTATTGGCAGTATCGTCATCAGCACGAGCTGTGGGTAAAGTGGAACGTATCGTCTACCATGGACTAAGTTTTGGTGGTGCGAAAGGAATGTGGTGAATATGCTGGCTGTCGACACATGCTCAACGGCAGTACACACAGCTATGACCACCAGCGAGTATTCCCATGTTTGTGCATATCCGGTTGTGCACCCACCCAGACCTTCAGCAGAGGGAACTATCAGAGCGATACAAACAGAGCGAGATTTAGCCAGGCAGCAACTTTTAGGATCTCGCGTCAAGTAGATCCCTGGCACTTTCAGTTTTGGCTGCGTTTAAGAAAAAAAAAACATCTTTAAACCGCCGAGATTCAGTTTCTTTTCGATCCAGGAACCACACTTTGCAATTGTGAACGTTTGGTGTGTCACTGCGGCACAAGCGGCAAATGTATAAAAAAGCAAGGTTGATTGGACTCGAACTGGCATCCGGTCACAGCAGTGAAAAATGTTTTGCTTCATTGTCTCAACCCTATGAGCCTCTTGCAATGGGTAAGTGACACATCCATTTGAGACCTGGGCATGCAAAAGTTTACTACGGTCCTCAACAGCGTAAGAATTGCAGGGTATGCCTCATTATGTTCATGTTTTTTGCTCCCATATTCGTTTTCCGGCACCCTTGTCGGCTAGAATGCTCAAACCGACAGAGGTGTGGTATAATAAGACCCCTGGGACCCTTGCATTTATTAGGCCGTCCATGACCATAGGCAGAAAAAATCGGTAAGTCGAGAAAGGGAACACGTCCAGCCACGGCAACAAGAATTAAACCTGTTTATTTCGTCCCATATCTTATATACCGCACTTGTGTGTAAAAACCTTTCTATACAGAATTTCCGAGTTACTTTACACAGTGTTTGTTATCACAGCAGAACGACTGCATGATATTGCAAGGTATACCTGGCTATCCTGCAACTAACATGGTAGTACCTAAGGCGCCATCTTGGACTCTGGCGTGTTCGGGCGCGTCCGATGACCCGACGGCTGCTCGCAGGCGGCTCCAGACACTGGCAGAGAGCTTGCATACAACTCAGGCAACGGCTACGTCACACAAACGGAGAAAAAGAGCGAGGGACCAAAAAGAACAAAGGATGCCACTGCACTGGAAAGTACCGGCGCAAAGCCTTAGGAGCTTTGCGCCGGAAGGGAGGAGGAAACTCCACACGGCTTTGTGCTACGGGAGACGAGCTAGCAAAGCGGCCGGGCACGACAACAGAATGCTAGACACTCACAAATGAGGTGGCCACGTCGAAGATGGGTGTGCATAGAAAACGGAGAGGCGCGTGCGCAATTCTGAGGCGCTTCCATCAACCCTCCAGCTCTGCATGCAGACGGCTTGCGGCAGATACCACGTTTGAAACCCTCGAACCCGGGGTACCGAAGAATCGACACGCTCGGCGATGTTGAGACGATTTTCCCCATTTGTCCCCGGGCCTCTTCAACGAGTCAGTTACACCATACTGCCAGCACCTTCTTATCTTTCACGGTGCCCTTCCGCTCAACACTCTTTTGCGTCCTACTTGGCGAGAAGATTGCAGACGCACTTGCGCTGCAAAGTGTCTCCCGGAAATGACCCTCACTCCAAAACGGCTGTTGCGGCTGGGGCGGCTCTTGCAGCTCAGGCGCGCTCGAATTCCGTTCGGTTGCAAACGAACTGCCCTTTTCAGACACTTTCCTTCTTGAGCAGCAAGTTTTCTCGTTCCTATCGTTTTTTGTACATGCAGCAGAGGAAGAAAACCAGCTTTCACTTCTACGTACACACCAGTAACAGTGCAAGCCAACGTGACTTCAATGCAACATTCTAGGAGCAGAACACTCAGCAACGTGTGGCCCATCTCGTGCGGCAAAGGAGAAGAGGTGACAGCGGTTTGGATCGTCCCTGATAAACTTCCGACCGTCCCGCAAACCGAACCGCCGCGTTAAACCCGTCGTAGAAATTCTTCCAGCCGCATTTTTTTTTCCCGCCCTCCGCTCGCTCGAGTTGGTGGCAGCGTTGCGACGGTATTGGGACGTACCGGCATGCGACACCTGTGTTTATGGAAGCCTGTGCACACCCCTCGCGAAATTGAGCTTTCGGGGCCGCTACGCGCGTGCAATCTCGCACACCCTCGCCGAAGCGGCCGCGTCGACATTCCTACGACGAAACGACGCACAGCCACTAGAATCAACGACCACTGCCTGTCCAAAGATTGGCTTCGGCTTGGCGTCGGCTTCGGCTTGATGCAGACGAGGGGTGGACGCTGGTCCCGTCTTGTCCGAGGAAACCCCGTGGCTGCGGTGCGAGTGGAGACTAGAGTGCAGCGCACTTGTGCCAACGTTAGGAGCAGCTTTCCACGGCTGCTCGCAGCGCGCCGCACACCTCCGCAAAACTGGGTCGGTCGTCCGGCCTGAAAATTGAACATCTGTTGTCAGGGCTGCTGTCGGGGGAAGGCTGCAATTCCTTCAATGTGCGAAGTCGACACATCAAAAGTGGCACTGAAACAAAGAGTCTCTTTAAGAGCTAGCACTCTTTGCCACGCTGTCTCTAGAAGAGTACGAGCTTGGGAGCACCGTCCTTGCCGAGACGACCGCGATCTACTCTTGACATTAACTTAACTGAGTAGCGCATTCAACTGAAGAGTAGAATGCTCTACTCTGCCCTGATAAACTGAACAGAGTAAAGCATTCAACTTTCTCTGGCAGTCTTTGCAGCACATACATCTAGACGAGCAAGCGACAGTCAATGGGGCTGGTGTTGTTCGAGATGATACATCGGATGCAGGAAATCACCTGTAGCTCCAGCAGCTGCGCATCAGCTCGTAGATGCAATCTGGGCAGTCCTTGGGCTTTTCGAGCCTGTGGTCGCCTTCCAGCATGGCCAGGATGGTCTGCCCCGTCATGCCCTGGAATGCAGATTTCGGACGAGAAAACTTCAGCCCTTGCCACTGTTGCCGACGGAAGACCGTGCCCAGTAGTAGCCTAGCAGACGACTTCCTCAATGTTGCATATACGGCATCCGTATAAAACTTGAATAGCAGTCCTGGCAGAAACTCCAATAGAAATTTTTATCGGACCAGAAGAAATGTTTTTTTTATTCAATAGAGCTTTGTAATGGCCAAATATGACAATTTCTTAGTCCTTGTGAAGATTTATATTGAACTGTTAGGAATATCTATTGGCCAAATAAGGACAATAAGGGAACGGAAAAACCTTCCTAATGAAACCGCCTTTTTAACGAATGTTTGTGACGTCGTGTAAAATATAAAAAGCACAGCGTTTCACAATATGCCATGAATTTATGACTACTATGCTGTTTGTTTGTTAAATGTGTACATTTTTTTTTATACTGTATTATTACTCTTGTAAAATCCTTGCAAGGGCTAACAGTACCAATAAAAAAATTTAACAAATAACTTAAAGCTGAAACATGAACATTTTAGAAATCAGTTTGGTTGGGTGGGCCTCGGTTTGAATATTTCCTTTTTATTACTAAACTGAAAGCCGTATTGATTGTGCAAGAATGCCTATTGGACCATTAGAACATTTTGTTGCTCTAAAAGGAATGCCTCTTTGAGCAATTGGGATGTCTTCCATAGCAACAGAGATGTCTATGCAAGCAGCTGGATATTTCTACGGGAATAGTGGAGATGCATATAGAAATATTAGAGATGTACTGGTACCGTATTTATTCGAAAATGCAGTAACCCCTCGTTATAACGAAGTCAACGGGACGGCGAAAAAATTCTATAGAAGCAGTAATTCGATTAAAGCGAGAGCCAAAAAAACAGTGCCAGCAGCCTTCTGGGTGGACGGGAACACTGAGGAACATTCTGACCATATATTCAATCAAACGAACCTTGGTTATGAACAAGAAGCAGCAGCTTCACCGATTAAATAAAAAAATAATTAAGTGGAGTTTGGCAATAATTTTATTTGGGCATCAGTTCTCCCTGAACTGCTCCAGGCATTGCAAGAACACTGTCGCCGCCGCTGCACTGCACTTCGTTTCAAAGCAGCTTTAATCTGTTTCTTGTCTCCGCAGTCGTCGGCATTTCTCGAAGCGCCTTTCCGACGTCACTTCGAGTTTACCCTGCCCGTATGCAAAGTTTACGATCACAGCATCCGTGGCAGGAGCATCAGTGGGAACGTCATCATCGACAAGCGCGAACGAATGAGTTATCCTCGGTGGCTTTGCCAGCATGTTTTCACACACTCCTGTAGAGACCATTGCAGCTCTGGAAATCGTGTGCCGGCTCGGCAGGCGTGCTCGCGAGAGAAAATCCGACGTGCGCAAAGCAGTTGGCGATTTTTCATCTTCAGGTCACGGGCGCGCTTTCTCTTGCATGAGAAACTTCTCAAACTCGTCCAGTATCCCTTGCTTGTTTCGTAAGTCGGTGGACAGTGTAAAACAGCCGATGCCAGAATGTCAAAATCTTTTGCGATTTCAAGTTTGGGCCGGCCACTTTTCTCAACCTCGCAGATCTAAGCGACTTTCAGTAAACACTCCCACTCCCGTACAACGCACGTCTGCATGTGATACGCTGCAAGCACACCTGTGCAGGCAGACGTATTGGGGGCTCGCAAAGAGATGACCATCTCCGGGCTCCACCACTCCCTTGACTCGATTTCGACGGGAGTCGGGCAGCATAGTTCGCGAGCGTCGTGAGTAGCGTCAAAACGTGGACGGCGCTCCTGCTGCTACCTGCCCACGTCGGCGCATCGGCATCGGAAGCGGCAATCTGCCCTCCTCAACCCATATGTACTGTTTACTTGTTTGCTGTTTTCCCAGTTTGCCGTTTACCTCGATGGAGAAGGGAAAGGGAAAGCAAAGGTCTCTGCACGTCTCCGTGTACGCTCACATGCTTTCGGCACCTCGGCCTTCGTAGTAAGCGTGGTCGGCCGCCGATACACTTCAAATAATGTGGTTCAAAATGCATGCATTTCTGCATTTTGGGCGGGGCCATGTTGAACTTCGATAAAAGCGATTTCGTCACAGTGAGGGATTACTGTAGGTCAGCCTTGTCATGAACAGACCTGTATGTCTACTTTCTCGCAGAGCACGAGACCACGACACGAGGAAACCAATCGTTAACAGTTACAAAAGGAGCCAGTGAATAGAAAAGAAATTCACACTGATCTTATTTCTGCATTCTGATGTCACTGGTGCATCGCCATTCGCCGGGCCCCTTCCATAAATCGCAACGATTGGCTTTTCTTGAGCGTTGTAGAGAAAGACATGTGTAGGCATTGTTCATAAAAAGTTCAACCTGTTTTCGAATAAATACGGTACGTCGGACCAAACGGTAAGGCACGGTCACGAAACAAATTGGGTTCCGAGACTTTGTAAGCAACAGCAGTCCGCGACGCACTTGATCAAGGAGAAATCGTGACCCGACACACATGAAGGCCATTTCTCTGCGCCCATGTCGCGGCTGGACAGTACCCCTCGCCACACCCCGGAAAGTGGCGCCGTAACACCTACCTGGTAAGGGCGCTCCCCGTAGGACATGGCTTCCCATAGGGTGACCCCAAAGCTCCACACGTCCGACTTGGTGCTGAACTTGAAGAAGTATATGCACTCGGGGGCGTACCACTTGAGCGGCCACTTGCCAGCCGCCTGCGCCTGCACGACACGCGGGCATCAGGACCGTCTGGCAGATCCCTAGAAAGACGAGTCTTCGCCTTCCTAAAAAACAAATGCACTCCCCAAAACATTTTTTTTACTTCCTCCCCCCTACGAGTGATAATTAAATGTAAATTCGAGAACAACTGGTTAAAAATGCTTTACGTGATTTGACGTGAAACACTTTTGATGGACAAATATTCGTTAGCCAGACCTCATATCTCCAGAAGTACACAAAATGAACATCTGGGAACGATGGATGCTTTTCAAAACCCAGTCGAGCAACATTGGCGGTCGCCATTTCTTGGGCTCAAAGTGTGTGATTGGACCAGAGTCCTCGCTGAACGCCGACACAGCGCTCGTTTTCGATGCAAGCCGAACCGAGTTTGCGCGGAACGCTGACGAAGGACTCGTGTCCAATACATTCTCAAAGCGTGTGCCCCAATAATCGTGGACTCAAATAGGGTGGCACGCACTATTGGAAAGGGTCTATTGAAGGATATGAAAACAGCAAAGAATGCTTGAGGAATTTTTATTTTGCCCAGACAGTAGGAAAGAGGAATGGGTTACACCAGAAAGCACATAGTGTGGCCGAAAACACTGTCTCTGAGCTTGTAAGGTGTCTAAATACGAAACTAACAGGCTTTAATATACTCGTAATTCGATTTTGTGCCACTTAAAATAACATGACAGTTCAGAGAATTATGCAACGTTTACCGGTATTCAAGGAACAATTCTGGCGTTCTGCATACTTATTACTGTTTTTTTTTTCTTTTTCACTGCTCACTGTTATAACAGACTCTGGTGTGAGACTGATAGTTTTGCGAAATAAAAATAAAATTGATAAAAAAAGGAAGTGACCAATTCCTAACCACAGACGTTACCCCAAAATTTAGAAGAAAAGGAAAGCGATTGATTGCCAAATCCACCGAAATCGCGCATTACCCCCCGTGAACCTAAACAAAAGTTGAGCGCCGCGTTTCGCTGCGACCGGGCACCGACCTTGTAGTAGTCTTTTCCGAGGCCCAGCGCCCGTGTCATTCCGAAGTCGCTGATCTTGGCGAACCGGTCGTTGACGAGAAGGACGTTCCGAGCCGCCAGGTCACGGTGCACCAGCTGCCGCGCCTCGAGGTACTCCATGGCACCTGCCACCTGCAACGCCAGCGACAGCACCCGGCCCGCCTCCAGCTGCTCCCTGGGAAAGCCACAGTACGCAGCGTAACAATGTTAGTGCCGTGGCACAGTTCAAAAGGGACTTGGTCTCCGGTCCGTTAATTTCGAAGCTATACTTGGCGTCGACCATTAGACGCCTTTCATTCATGGGACCAGCCCCTAGGGTCTTTATGTCCGTGGCGTGTAGCCTCAATAATGAAACACTCAGTGTCTGACCATGGTGTCAAAATAACAACATCTTTAAAGAGAATGATCACTCGGGTTATTATATTTTTTTTATGCAACATTCTGACGTCACGTGACACCACGACATCACTTGACGCTGTGATGTCCTTTCACATTGCGATGCGACATGATCGCATGACATTAGTCACGTGCTTTCCTGTTGGCAGTGCAAACGAGACTTGAGGTGAAGTCACATGCTCTTGCAGCAGCGTGTAGCTGCAGCAGTACGGAAGCTATGCACACCTCGACGCCGCTTAAAAATTGTTGACGCCGAGTACGAGTGAGACCTCTGACAAAGGACACAGAGCCGAGTTCTAAACGACAACTTGAATGCAGAGTCGTCGTCGTAATCGTGCCGGTTGCAACTTACTACTTATTTTATTAGTAGCTCTTGGTTGTGCTCAGCAAGTGTCATATTGAAACCATACCCCTACCTTTAAAAAGTAAAAAGTTGGTCACTCAAAGATAATGGATTGTCTCACTACCTTAGACGCTATGCACATCAAAGTGGGCTCTTTGGCAATATGTCATCACAATTTTTTTTGTGTGCGATGCAGTTTCTGTGAGAACTAGTGTTGTGCGAATATTCAAATTTTCGAATAGAGCTTTTGAATGATACGCTTTGTGATGAACTGCGATATTCATTCTTTTCGAAGTGTTGATTTCGGCGAGTTATCTTCATTGAGCGCACTTCTCACCAAGCACCTGTGCACTGCAAAGAAGCAACAGCCACGGAGCTCGGCTCCATAGACATTGCTTTAGCATAGTGTACAAGTGATGAGTGAGAAGCGCACTCAACGAGGATAACCCGCCGCCATTATGCCAGAATATGTGTTCGGCAGAGATGTCTCGACAACCTGCGCTAGTCACTTGTGCTTGTTTCTTTGTTTTCTTTTGTTATGTTTAGAATTGAACAAAGAATATTTGCATATAGCAAGCAGATTCATAAATCTCCTCCATTAGCATAACTGTGACAATCTTGCTGTTTATATATGCCACAGTTCATATATATAGTAGCTATATTGAAACTAAACTGAGCTTAGAAGTGGACAACTGGAAGCTAAGGAACAACCTCCATGAATTCAGCTGAAGTTTTTCTTCAGCATGGTGCACGGTAGTGAAAGGCTTGGAGAAACTATTCGATAAGCAAACGTTTGGCCAGAACCATTGTTCACTTCAAATTCCCTTCGTTCTCAAGGTCCACTACTTGCACATGACTGGCAAAAACCATTTAGTCGGAGCGAAACCTTCGCTTCGTCTCGGATACAGCTAAGGTTAAACACCTCTAAAGCCCCATAAAGTATGTCTTCTTGACTAGTCTCATGAAGAAACCTTGTGGAAGCCTCAGACAAGCAGCTGACGCTTCAGTACGAGACTTTGTGGTAAAAACAAGCAGACATGCATTAAAATTGTTTCATACTGTCATTGATGTCCTTTTAAGCACTGGTTGCTCAAAGAAGTGCAGGAATGTTCCGCAGCCCCACTTTTTCTTGGGGTCAATTGCCTGCGTTCTCTTACCTGTTCATCTTTAGGAACCGGTTCAGGGGACCCAATGGTGCGAGCTCCATCACCAGCATCAGGGCTTGGCCTTGGGACACGCCTGCACAAGTGGACAGCAAGGTACTGAAGCTCCTTCACAAATTTGCTGCAGCGTACTTGTTTAAACACATGATCCTGGCCTAGTGCTGTCTCATGGATCTAAGGCTCACAAATCGCGGCCTAAACATGCCAATTTTGCCCATTCATCTTCTCTTTTTTTTAGCACTCACTGCCAGACATGGGGAAAAAAAAAAAATGTGTAGGTAGGTGACGGCACTACTAAAGAACAATAACGATAATAAGAATGATTATAACTTACTATGCTAAGGGGCCTGTGCATAACAGATAATGTTAACAATGACCTCTATGATACAAGTTTTCTGTACATTAATAAAGCAAACAGTGTGCAAGGTGTGGTGTGTGTGATCATGTTTTACATGCAGAGTATGTACCAAGTGCAGACTATAGAAGGGTTTCTTTTAGTTGTAGTTTGCCCCTGCCGACAGTAGACTGGCAGCAGCCTGTAGCCTAGTTTTCAAGTGGTGCTTGATATCGAGAAGCAATCGGTAATGGAGAACAACCAGGGCCTAAAAGGATAAAGGCCTGGGTGAATGTTCCTTGAAAGGCTTGACATCCCTAGACATAAATGATGAAAGCAAGTAAAAAGCCAAAAAATAATGTGCGGATGCCCCCGTAGTAATCTGAACGAAAACACTCATTAAGTATGCCAATGACGTCGGCTAAGTGAAGGCACTGCAAGATCAAGTGGTGAATGCCACTCGGTCACGGTTGATGACTATGGATTTTGAGGGCGGTACATGAATTACCTAATAACGTGCAGCTGTGAACTGGGGTACTCTTAACTAACTGCTGCAGGGTTGTCCCTCCACACAAAGAAAAAAAGATGATAGATTAATCCGTAACTCGAAGCTATCGTAACTGGTGGCGTTCCTCGCACGTGGCACCTACCAATGAGTCGCACAATGTGTGGGTGGTCCAACTGCGCCATGGTCTGTGCTTCGTTCATTATTTCTTCCTGCAAAAGTGTCGATCGACCAATCAATCTTACGTCCAGGAGACGGCATTCTCCAATCACTACTACTGTTATTACAGTGAGTCAGTAAAAACAGCAGTACATCAACCTTCGTTTCGACGACCATTCAGGTTCACCACTTTGAGTGTGGTATCCTTTTTCTTACGCACAACTGGATTTCAAGAAAAAACGGTAAAGGGGAGCTCCGGCAGTATTTCAAGTTGCTCAAACTAAACCCATTTTTGGAAGACCCGGGTTTTATTTTTCCCTGCGTGCTATTTATTATCTCTAAATTCAAAATTGCTACTGAGTAACACGAAAAATGAAAACGATGCCGAAACCAACGTCAAAATTTTCCCACGCTCACCGGACGAGTCTCGTCATACGCCGTATATAACTTGCAAGTTAAGCGTCAGCTTCCCAAAAATATTTTTCTCATGTTTTTTTTTTGTTTTTCTGGTGTGAGCCAAACCAGCATTTAAAATTTCTTGTAACACCCCAGAACAAGTTGCAATTCCCCCATATTACATCTGACATCACATTTTCAGCGTTGTCAGCAGGGCCTCTCATCCCCTCAGACCAAATTTAAAACTTCAATAACCTAGCAAGTAAAAAGTTATTGTGACTCGTCATTTGGGTTACTGGTTCAGACGTGTGCACTAACACGTTGAACCAATTTTGAGGCAAATTAGCGACACTAAATTTTCTTTTCGGAGCTCCCCCTTAATGCGTTTAAGAACCCCCCCTCGCCTTCTTTTGCTAAACACAGAAAGACAGACACGTGCCCTACATCGCTTCAAAGTCATACATCAGCATGTTTACAGCATCAGATACAGAGACATTCAAGTATGGAGTGTGCGTCCACGTTGGTAAAAGCACCCACTTTCTGCTTATTGTGAACTTTACAACTCGCTAGACCACTATAGACACCAACGCGATGGGGAGTTTTTTGCAGATCGGCTCCACCTTCCCGCAACGCTCTCCGGAACCCACTAGAAGATTTGGAACTCTGCGGGCAAGGCTAGCAGCACGCAGGCACGGCATCTTTGTTGCGGGGAGCGCAGCAATGGGGAAAAAACGATCTACAAAAACATTTTAACACTGATCAGCATGCAAATGTAGACATCTGTTCTCGGAGCAGCGAAGCACATTCCAATCTGCAGCCTCGGCGCAATGTCCGAAACACGATTTGGAGTACGGACGAATTCGGCACCGAGCAAGCGCAGCCATCTCGACAGTCGTCGCAATTATTTCGTAAGCAGGAGTGGGCACTCATTCGACGTATTGCAGCAAGTTAATAGACTGGGCTCACCTTGTGGCTGCCGACCAGGGTCTCCTTTAGCATCTTGACCGCAAACTGAACCTCCACGGAGCCGGTCCCAAAGACGGCCCTGTGCACTTCTCCAAAGTTGCCGACCCCTGGACATAACGAAAAAACCAACTGTCACGGTCGTCGTAGCGCACAGCACGAGGCAATCTGCTTTGGACGGAAGGTCGGAACAGGAAGTACTTCTCAAATAAGCTGGCGTGACAACAAATCACAAATCACTACAGTCACCAACAGAATGAGAGCGGCGGGGAGCAGTCTCGGTCGTCCTGCCTCCAGCGCGAGCTTCCTTACGTTCGACGAAACTTCAGTGTCTCTTTTTTCTCGAACGTGCCCGCGATTCAGCGAAAGCGCGACGGAAGGTAAGAAGCTTGTGCTGGAGGATGGGCGTTCGAAAGAGGCGCCGTTTTCACCTCGGCGGTGACCATGGACGTACGAGTTTGACCAGGGGCAAAGCCAGAGTTCTCAGTTTCGAGTGGCTCGGTTGTCCCGACGTCTCGTCCATGACACATCACTATGCGCTCCGTCCGTCCCGCTGCAGTGCCAAGAACTCGCGTCAAACCGGCGCGCTCATCGCGTCCTCGAAAGTGGTCCCTCAATTCCCGGCCGAGGACGTCGTAAAAGTGTTGCATTGTTGTCGTCTGTGATCCTGGCAGAGTTGCAGTAGTGGCGGTGTAAGTGGCACACGCCTGTTTTGCCGCGGGTCGGTCTCCAGCTTGACGGTACGCGGAAGGTTTGGCGGCCAGAAGTTGTGATGCAGCAACGATCGCGATATCAGGCTTTCGCAACGCCGTTTGTTGCCGCTTCAGGACCACTTTTGACGCATGGGTGAAATGGGACACTAAACACTCCAGTCGAATGTGCACTGTAATCCTGCACAATTTTTTTTTCTTTTTTTTTAAGCTGAGAAAAATTTGCAAGCTAAAGTAATAAGTTGTGATATGAACCAAGCTCGTGCCTATCTTCTGTGCAGGGCCAACATGTTTGAGCAATTTTTAAGAGGCAAGTGACGTACAAAGAAGCACTAGTAATGTTGTCACTTTAAAATGTCGTTTGCACGAGATTTGGAGCGGGCGAAGGACACTAATTGACGTCTCTGTTAAATGTCGCCGTGTCTCGCACGTTTAGGGACAGAGACATTGGTGTCTCTGTTTTGTCGTTCTCTGGGTTTGTTTCATAAGCTCTATCATATATTGAATACGGGGAGTACACTGCATGGCAGTCGCCGTGGACAGAACACCGGCAGTCTTTGCATCTTGCCCAAACAGCTTAGCATCAACAAACGGAAAATCTTGCCACTTAAATAGGTGCCACAAATGAGCACTTTGAGGCTCTTTCGTCATGTCGATTTGCTTGTTTCAGAAACGGGGGAAAAACCAGGGACCACTTTATCAAGCTTTGCATGCAGAAAGATCATTCTGTTTCCATTTTGCACTGCTTCGAAGCTAGCCTTTCGACTTTCATAAACAGTGACTCATAAACGAGTGAATGAAACTGTCAACCAATACTACGAGCATCTCTCGGTCGTGAGGGTGGCTCTAAAGAACTGTGGAAGCTCCACACTGTTGAGGGCAATGCTACCGCGCATAAAGCCTAGCTGCAGTGAGCTTGCCTATTTTGTCCTTGAGGACGATGCACTTCGAGTCCAGACTCATGGGTCCGCTGCAGAAACGTTTCATGGCATGATACGCAGACTCTGATTCTTCTTTCGACAGCCATGCCTTGGATGCCCCTGTCCAAGAAAGAAAAACAAAAAGAAATAGCGGGGGTTTAATGTTTCAACGCAACACACAAAAGCTAGGGGGGGGTTCACATTACGAATGCCGTTCCATTGGTCAACGGTTTAGCGGATGACTCTGTCCTTGCCCGCACATTGTGGAAATGTACTAGATGGACTAAAACTGCTACCTCTAGCTGGTGTCAGTAGACAGGTTAGATGCTTGCTGCCACACATTGGAGATGCAGATTCCCTGCTATAGTCTGTGACAGGTTAAGGGTAAAGTGGAAGCTCCTCTTTTCACTTTAGCAGAGCGAACGCTGGACAGGAGGTCCCCTCCCCTCCAGCGTTCGCTCTGCTAATGTGGAAAGGGGTGGGAGGAGCTTTCCATTAACTCTTAGCCTATTACCGACTTTAGAGTCACTCAATGTTCCCAGAGCACCATACTCAATAGCATCTGCTAAACTGGAGAATTGAGCTTTCCGATTGGCTTACGTAGGACATGTTGAAGACGGGAGCAAACGAAACGCAAAAAGCATTCAAAGGGAGCTCTCGGTGATGAATTACGACTGGTCTGGAGGCACGTTAAATCTACGTCGGGGCTCTCTACAAGAAATAGCCCGTAACGTAACCCACAGAAGGAGAATGTCAATTCCTTTCAATGGACCAATCTTACCAGCCGGTTTGACAGGTCTGCACAAGCAGAGCACGAGATGGCACGGGCCGTGTTGTGCAGTGGTGCCTGCCTTCTGTGGACTACAGTCGTGGCAGTGTCACGAATACGTGAAACGCTTAGCAAGATCAGTCTACTCGGTTCCACAAGAGCGCCATTCCAAAGGCGTCGTTAGCAGTTCCGCAACACAGTTCTGACACGAAGCTTCGGAACTCTTGCACTCTGGGAATATTCGCCGGTTCTATTGCTTACAACAGGGACAATTAGATGCGTTTCGGGAACATACCGTCCACGCCGGTGGTGGGCAGGTATCTGTCGGGGGAGGACGGCTCGCTGCGCGACCTCTCCAGCAATGCACGGCCTCCTTTTCCCTTGGGGCGGACTGCAAGCGTGTCCGTGTCGATGAGGTCACCCTCGGAGGGACTGCCGGTGCCGTCCGAACCGGGCAGCGTGGTCGAGTCCGAGAGGCTGGAGGCGTCTATCTCCTCGTACGGGCCTTCTTCAAGGTCGCCGCACTGTGGACAACGAGGGACTCGGCTTACTGTCGTGGAACAGCTGCGGCTATATCGCGAACTCAGGTACTTCAATCAGGAAGTTGCGACAGAAAATGAAATATACGGTAAATATAGAAACATTCTGAGAAATAAAATGGAGAACTTTAAAAAAATGGCACCATGTTCCTGCTCGATTTGCCTGCACCAGCCTTCACCGGAGCAGAAAAGTGAAGAGGCACTGTATTTCCGGTTTCATATTGAGATAGGGCCGCACTCTTAAATCGGATACGGTAGTGTGCACCAAGTGCAGGTAAATCGAACGTTGCAATCGTGGAAGCCCCTTGTAGTCGCATGGTTGTAGTCACGATCCACTTGGTCACATATTGTCAGTTTAGTTAAAATAACCTTCAGATGGAGCCACATGTGTCTGTTCATTTAAAATAAACTTCAGATATAGTCACCCTTGTAAGTCGCCGATTTCCAAATGTGGTCACATGAGTTTTACCATCTGCTCATCCTATCCGGAGTAAAAGTTTGTCTACTTCTTGCACAGCTATGGGTAGCGATGATGTCAGAATGCTGAGCTCTTATTGGCTGATGGAAAATAAAAAATAGTGGGTAGATCTCAAGCATGATGAAAGAAACATTTGGGTGATGACTGTCCGACGCGGTGACCACATTATGTTCGGCGTACCGAGCGCTTCGCTAGCACGGGGATAGGTGGCACCCAAGGAGGTTTGAAGTACTAGGAGGGGGCACGTTGCAATATTGGTGAAGCCTAGTCATAAAAAGTTTAAACGATTCTGTGCCCAGCGTAACCGCAGATCTGTCTGGCGATTGGTGCGCGTGACATGTCACGTGTGAGATGGATGGTTGATTGTAGAAGGACTCCTTGCAGGCTTGCGCGCGCTCCGTCCGGTAGGTTTTATCATATCGAAGGCTACACTGTGGTGTATTCTAGTGGCCTATAGTAAGACGAAGGCTAGCTACGGTCACGTGATGTGGTCACATTGGCATGGTGAGTGAGGAGAGTAAGGAGGGAAATGAGAAAGAGGCGAGGCGTCAAGGGGGCATGGCTTGTGGAGGCTACGCGGCCGACGTCATGCCCTCTCCTACCCTTCTATTCTCCATGGTGGCGCCCAAGTGTGGGGGGCTCCCAAACCGACCGCTCCGGTTGTTTCTCCCACCGGTGGTCCTGCATTCCCTCGCTCACCACTCCTTGTTTTACCGACGGTGGAACACATTTAGGTGATGAGTATCTGGCCGACGTGGCGGCCACATTATGTTCGGCGCACCGAGCGCGCTTCACTCGCACAGGGATAGATGGAGCCCAAGTATGGAATTCCTCCTAACGCTCCGGTTGTTTCTCCCAGCGGTGGTCCCACATTCCCCCACTCACCGCTTCTTGTTGTAACTCACCGCCGCCATGCTGCAGGTCGCCAGAGTTTGTAAATTTGTGTTCTCTTCCTTCTTCGGGGTTAAGGCTCACTTTCGTGTACGATGGTTATACCTGTGATCGACACAGTACCAAACCAAAACAGGAGGCCAGCCACTGGCCACACACCATCACCACACCAGCACACCGCGAAAAAGGCGAGCACGCTACGTCGCCGACACCGTGGCCGCCGAGGAGGGACCTCATACCTCGGCGCCCTCCGCGGCGACGCGAAACTAACTGCTTCTGATTCGAGGCTAGCTCCGAACACAATCTGGTCGCCCGCACCCCGCAGGATGAGCGGTCAGAGTCATCACCTAAATGTGTTTTTTCCACCGTGATCTCAAGGCATGCAGCATTGAAGTCTACCCACTAATCTCCCCAATCGGGAGGCACTCACAGGTACCACCACGACTACGGGAATCTGACCTCTCGCGCTAGCGGAGCCAACGTTGATCGGAGCACCACCGAATGCCACGGCACAGAGTCCTTGCACCACAGGAAATACCGACAATACCAACAATACTGCGTGGTGCCGCGTCGTGAAAGAACACGATTTAAACATACTTCTCTCTAACATCCCGAGCGCAAGATCGGCAAAAAACTAAACAACAAGTAGCAACGATTTTAAAACGAGATGTCTCCAAAAATGCCTGCGTTCTCACCACCTTCGCCCCCCCGTCTTCCTTATCCAACTTTTCCCGCCATGAAAAAGACAAAACATATCTAGTCGAGTTTATTGAATAGGGTGGCAGCTTGCGCCCTCCAACGGATTAGAACAACAAGTGCGAACTCGCGAGTAGACATTTCGGTTTCGTTTTTGTGCGGTCTTGACTCTTGTGCAGCTTGTGCATGATGCCCTGAACTACCTGAACTACACTTTCATTTAATTTCGTTTAGTATTCTCCAAGGACCCGCAGGCATTACAGAGAGTGGGCACTGTAACATAAAAGTAAAAGAAAAGGCAAAAATGAAAACAAAGTAGTAATTGTAATTCTAAAATTAGTGGTGTTAGTAATTTAAATTACGACTGTGCGTGACGATACGTAAGATGTATGGTTCTGGAAACAGTGTTTCAAGTGTAGGGTTAGTTACAGTATCAATCTTGTGAAACATACATCACAGGTACGCCTGTTTCGTAAGGAACAAACAAAGTCGAATAAACAGACAGGATGGATGGATGGATGAATACGGCTGAGCCCTTTGGATCGGGCGGTAGCTTACGCCACCTAGCCATTTTGTTTTACCATTTAAGCTTAGAATATTTAAATGTGAAATCTATATTCACTCCGCAGTGCAAAGAAAGTGAGGCTATGAAACCCCCTTGCCATCAGTGGATAAGAAAATACCTAGTTTTCTCTCGATTTCTGCCACCATTCACTTAATCTTTGCTTGGTAATCTCTACAGTCTTGAAATCCACTCTCCCTTCGCTGTCTCTAAAACCCAATGACTTTATTAAATCTATGTTGTCTTCGGTAGGCATAGGGTGAAGCCCTTTACAGTAGAGTATCAAGTGCTCAGCCGTCTCGTCCTCCTCTCCACAAGCAGTGCACACTGTATCAATTTCCTGGTACTTCACTCTGTATGTTCTGGTTCGCAGAACACCCGTTCTTGCCTCAAACAGCAATGAGCTTCCCCTAGAATTGTCATAAATGCTTTCTTTGGCAATAACTCTTTTGTTTAATCTATAGCTTTCCAGAGCCGTCTTTGTCTGCATTCCCTCTAGCCACCGATCTCTTTCTGTGGCCTTAACTTTCTTCTTAACTGAGACTTGCTCTTCCGTATCTTCGCTATAGCCCAAAAACTTTCCTCTTAATTTCCTAGTGCGCTGTCTCCACTTTGTGTCTACACTCCTCATGTATAAATAGCTGAAAACCTTTCGTGCCCATTGCTCCCCGTCCATTTGCCTCAACCTATCCTCAAATTCTACCTTGCTCACCGCTTCCCTGCTCTCAAATGATGCCCATCCCATGTCTCCTTGTACTCCCTGGTTTGGCGTTTTGCAATGTGCCCCCAAAGCCAGTCTACCTACTCCGCGCTGTTTTATTTCTAGTCTCGCATGCACTTCGGATTTCATGCATAGCACTGCGTTTCCAAAAGTCAAGCCAGGCACCATGACCCCTTTCCAAATCTCTCTCACCACCTCATACCTGTTGTAATTCCAAAGTGCTCTATTTTTTTTTTTTTTTTGTGCAATTAACCGAACCGCCATCTATGTACAAACTTCCGCCGCATTCTTTTTTCAATTTTTATTTCACGGAAAATTAATTTACGGATCTCATTCAGCGCCCGCACGTCACAGGTCATCGAAGTGTCACGCCTATGTCACGCTGTCACCGGTCGCGATCCTGGCGGCGTCCCAACAGCGGTGGTGGGTGTGGCAGACGCCTATTTTGCTGCAGGTCACCCTCCAGCTTGACAGTCCACGGAACCTTCGGCAGCCAGGAAAATGGCGGCCGACGGAGTTTTCAAACACATGGGGCTACCGAAAACGGGAAAAAATGGGCTCCATTTTCCCATTGAACTTTTCAGAAAATCACTTATAACTTTTGATGAAGTTATCGGATCGGGCTGAAACTTTGGCATCTGGTTGTGACCTCTAGCTCTACCTTCGGGCGGAGAATGAGCGTTTGGCGATGCCTAGTTTATTTTTGCGGTAAAAAAGGCCGTGTAAATTGTCTTTTGTGACACCCTGTATTTTCTGGGGAAAATTGCCTGACTTGGACATTAATTCTGTCAAATGCAATAGACCGATCTCACCAAGCGTTCGGCGCCTGCTTGAAGCCGACAAAACTTCAGTACACAAGAAGCAGGCGGCAGTGCCCGAGACGGCTCGTGCCGTCTCGTGCTTTTCATGCGCAGAGTCCCACCGAGGTTCGGGCACGTGCTGAAATACTAAAGGTCCATCGATGCATTGCGGCAGCGGTGGCGTAGTAAAACTGGCTGATGAGATGGCTCTATTGAATGATGCGACAGCACCAATCTCCGCAGTTCCATGCACCCTATCGCCGCGCAGAGGGGAGGGGGTTAAAGCGGTTTCAAAGTATTTAAGAATACAAACACTGCGACCTTGTACTTTGAGGCCAACATACAGATACTGAGGTAAAAAGACGGTGAGTGTGCAGGCGAGCTGGTGGTAGCTGAGACGTTCTCTGTGTCTGTTCCTTCTACTGAAAGTTCTTCCGATTTCTTCCACCGCAGTCACAGGTGTAATACGACATGATATACTGAGGTACATTTTTATTTTATGCAACGGAATATTCCCGGATAGTTGTGCAAAAACGATCAAAAAGTATCCCGGAATAGAAATACAGACACATACAGAGATGTTCAACGATCACCAACTCGCCCAACTAATCATCTTGCTACAATAGCTTTTTATATTTTTTTATTGAAGCTGTGGGTGAGAAACAGCGCAGTTCACGGCAAATGCAAATGGTGGTGCTTATGTTCCTCTCCTTGTGTCAGTTTACGCACCTCCCCTTACCTAGAACATTATATATATATATATATATATATATATATATATATATATATATATATATATATATATACAGCTAACATCCCAAATGCCACAAAAAATATTATAAGTTAAATACAATAAATCCAATAATCACTTTCTCCCCTCTTCGTTCACAATCTATAAATTGCTTTTAGTGCATTTTAGCGGATACTGCAGCAGACGACTGCTTGCCACGCTTGACAAAAGGAGTCTGCCCGAAGTGAACCGTGGTTTGCCGGCCACCGTGAGCTTCGCTTACGCTTATGCTACGGGGGAGGGCGCGCACTTTTGAAAATTTCATTAGAAAAGTGAGCGGATGTGGCTACGCGGCGCAGCAATTCCTCACCTCGGAGAAGAGGATAAGAGTAGGGGAAGGACTCCGAGCTCCGTCTGGAAGCGGCACGGGCTGCGGGAACGAGTCCAGGTCCGACAGCACCAGGGCGCGGGAGCCCACGCTGGGAGACGAGGCGCTCCGCCGACACACGGGCGCCACGCAGTCGCCGTCGCAGTCCAGGTCGATCAGGGCGCCCTGCGCGCCGACGGTGCGGAAGGAGAAGAATGTAAGAAAACACGGAATCGCACCATCGCGGTGTCCATCAAGTTTCTGTACGTGTTGTATCATTGCTGAACAAATCATAAACAGAAAGGTCCCCATGACTTGCACTTTTGACGGTGCCTGATTGGTCCCATTACCTCGTAGCGTTGGCTGAAATGAAGTATACAATAGTACAAACTGCGCATGCGTGAGTCTCATACGGTGTTATATGCGCAGTTCGTACCGGAGGGCCCATATCGTACCGTGCCGGAGGTGCAAAAACGGTTCTCTAAAACTCTCATGACTCTATCGCGTGTGTGCAGTCATCAAAGTAGCGAATGAATCGTATGCTAAACGAATCTATGCTGTGCTCGCCTAAAAGGAATCGCGCCTCAAAGGAATTCCAGAAGAATTGCAGAAATTTGAGCGAGTTGGACATTCATATTTGAAAAGCAAAAAGTAGCGCAAACAAAGCGAAGGACCGGTGAAGACGTAAACATCGCTTTGTCCATGTCCGTGTCTCTTGTCCTCCGTCTTGTTTGCGCTGTTTTTAGTTCTTAAGGAGGAAAGGAGTGTGACAATTTGTATTCATTTTCTTGGGATATAATATATGATAATGATCTTTATCTAGCTTATTGTAAAGCTAGCAAAGCCAAGGACGTCCTTCGTGGGGATTGCGGTCCAAAATGGCGGCTCCTATACGCAGTGTTGCCAGCTGCTTTCCCCAGCCGAGCGTACTCGCCTCGCAAGAGCGTTCCTCCTCCTGCTCCTCGGGTATGGGCGTCGTGTCGTCTGCGCCCATCTGCAACCTGGCCGAGAGTGCCTGGTTGTTGGCGTAGACGGGACCCAGGTCGTGGTAGTCCCTCCGCACCAGAGAGTGCCTCGGGGCTGGAACGGGTCTCGGGGGCGGGGGCGGCGGCAGGGAGGGCGGCGGGGGCTGCCCAGGGGGCCAGCCGCCCCCGCGCCGAGGCGACGGGGCCTGTCCCACGGCCGAGCAGCAGAACTCCCTCGCCGAGCCACAGCCCAGGCCCCGAGGCAGCGTTTGTTCCATCTCCGGCAGACGCTTTGGTCCCGAACTCTTGCGACGCATCGTCTGGGGAGTCCATGGGGAGTTTTAGTAGCAGGTCGTTCCGATACCCCGATAGCGATGCCCGAATATATTACGGATAGTTTTCGGTGGTACATTAGCGAACCATAGGGGACTTTCGGCCGTGTAACGAACCGTAGGTGACATTTGACATTAGAGAGCTTCAGTAGATCGTTTTTGCGCTTCAATAACGATACCCGAAAACGATGCGATGCTTGCGCAAAGGCGGATCGTCGGGTATCGTTATCGGAGGTGTCAGAGTTGATTGACCAAAATTCCCTAATAGAGTTTTAGTAGGTCATTGTGTTACACAAACAAAAGTCAGTCTGATTCGAAGTAGTGAAAGCTACACTGGGTACAGTCAAAGATAAAGGGGAAGGAAAGAAAAATACCCCCATCTCTCCCGAACATTTCCGACGTCCCTGGGAGCAGACCCATTACAACTAAATCAAATTCCTTGCGATCAATTATGTATTTATATTGCACTCATTGCAAGTAATCAAATTACTTGTAATTGATTACTTTTCTGAGTATAGTTTTGTAACCATTTGAGTACATTTATTAGGAAGTGTTCATGAAAGAAATCTGATTAGTCTGGAATTACTAAAGTTAATTTTGACCGTATACCTTGAATAGACAGCGTGCTAATAAGGACAGTATAAATACTGAGAAGAACAGAGAACACAAGGACGACCCTTGTCCAGTGTTTTTCCTAATATTTATATTGCCGCGCGCGCAGCTGGCCAAGTAGGCAGCGCGCGCGTGACGTTACGGTTATCGTACCTGGCTCCCGCGCGAAAAGCCAGGGTTCGATTCCTGGAAGCGGCGCTTCCAGTAATCGAACCCTGGCTTGCGGACATGCGGACCTCGAGAATCCTGTTGCTTCTTCGAGGTCCGCATGTTCTACGCGTCCAAGCACGCATGTATGTATTACATAAGGGGCTCCGCGTGACGAGCCAGTCAGTTTTCGCGTCAGCGTTCGATCGTGCTGCTTCGACGCCCGCGGCGCTCTGTTGTTGTCTTTCTTTCTCCTTTTTTTATTTTTGGGCACAAGTTCGCCCCATTAAACGTTCAGTTTACTCATTCCTTCGCCGCCTCGTCACTTGTCATCCGTGACAATATTACCTGTAACCGCTACTATTTTCCCCCGCCCTTTCTAATGGCTGCCTTTGTTTGTACAAGTTCGCTACCAAGAAATTTTCGAACCAAGACTCAGAGGATATCGTTTACCGAAGTTGGTGGATTAAGAAATAGCGTATAGTCCGCTGACTCTGATTCAATTATAGGAGGTACAAAAAACCCGTTTTTCAACCGGCAGAAAGATATGTTGTTACGAAAATCTGAATTGGAAAAATAATTGTTATTTTTTTTTTCAAGTAGCCCCGGGACTGAGCACCCCCGGGCCTACCTTGCGTTCCCCGTCGGAGTCTCCCGAGAATAGGTAGGTGATGAAGCCCGGCAGCAGATGGTCGAAGCTGGACGCTTTGTGAAGCCTGCTGGCCGCGCTCTGGCGCCGGGGCTCCGGTTTCGTCACCACCGCCGACGAAGCGGTGGCCGACGAAAGCGGTGGCGACGAACAGGACAGCCGCGAGGGGGCGCGCAGCCGAGGCATCGTGCGAGAACGCTCCATCGCTTGCTGTGGGACGCCGCGCACGAGGAACAAAGGACAACCAACACATTTCTTGTAAGCTGAGTAAAGATTCGGTGTCGCCAACATATTGTTGATACGGGAGAAAAAGCTCCAGAATCGCCAACATGTTGTTTATAACCAAAAATAAAGATTCAAGGTTACCGACCTATTGTTTATCAACAAAATGAACATTCAGGACCACCAAAGTATTGTTTATAAGTAAAAATCCAAGATTACCAGCATAGCGCCGTTTATAAGCAGAATAATTGTTCAGGATAACCAACGTATTGCTTGTAAGAAAAATAAAGATTAAAAAAGGCCAACGTATTGCTGACAACCAAAAAATGAATATTCAAGACCACCAACATACTGTTTATAAACAAAATGAAGATTCAGGATACCAAGACATTGTTTATAAGTAACGATTCAAGATCACCAGCATAGTGATTAAAAGCAGAATAGATACTCAGGATCACCAACATAGTGTTTACAAACCGTATAAAAATTCAGGGTCACCAACATATTGTTTATAAGTAGAGATTCAAAATCAGCAGCATAGCGTTTATAAGCACAATAAAAGTTCAGGATCACCAACATATTGTTCAAAAGCAAAACCGCCTTATCAGAAGTAACCGAACAATCAACTAAAACTATCTATTTTTGCGAAGTAGGGTACCGTGTTTTCGGTAATTATAGATAAACCCCGAAAAATAAGCCCCAAGATGGCAAGGTGGGAGTCAGATATGACTGCGACTTAGGTATTCGCGTCTCACAAAAGTAGTTGGCAGAATGAACTCACCTGCGGGGAAATGCTGGCCACAAGTCGATTCAAAATTCCCGCGCGGGCCGAGCCCAACGACCCGAGTAGCCTCGAGCCTGGGCTTCCCCGCAGTTGCGCCTGTTGATGATGATGATGGTAATGATGGTGATGGTGGTGGTGGTGGGGCGGCGAGTCCTGCCCTCTCTCGGCGTGTGACGGAGACGGCTGCGCCAGCACACAGTCCGGTCTAACGCAAGCCTCCGTAAGCGGACACCAGAGGCCGTCGCTGAACAGCGTGTAGTGACTGATGAGCTGTGAGAAACGCGCGAAGCGTACGAATTGGTCAGTATAGGAGCGCCTGCGTAAATCAGAATAGAAAAAAAAAAAATATAATATATATATGTATAAAAAAAATAGCGAAGGTGTAGTGCTGCAACAACAATGTACGAACGTTAAACGAATAAAAAACTTCGAATTAGTGTGGGAGCAGCGCGTGCGCAAAAACCAGATTCACGTTAAATAAACCGTCTGCGCATGCGCAGTGCCGACAGCAGCGCCACCACAGTGGCGTGACGTCATGGAGTTATTATATTCATAATTCTTGCTTTATTATTCGTTCGTTGGCGTCCTTATCAGCTGGCCGCGGAACGATAACAAGATACGGTAGCTTGCACCATGGCTGGATGGATGGATGAACACTAATCACTGAAAACTGAATGCGTTCGTTTGCGCCACCTATCCGAAATACCAAAATACTGATGCCTCCCCTCGTCTTTCTAAGCCAAGTCCTAAGTTCTCTGCCGCAGCGAGCAAGGCAACATTGAAAATTCCGTGCGACTACATTATAGATCGCAGAGAGCTCCTCAACTCTCTGAAGGAAACCGGTATCCTGGACCGTCTCAAAGTGAATCCAAGGTCGCCAAAAACGTTGTGTCTGCTGATACGTTTCGAGCCTGGGGGGCTATGTTGCGCTTTTTGCACTCCCAGGAGACTAGGGAGAGGGAAGTGACGTCAACAACGCAGCAAATGCAGATTGGATGTTGATTTTGTTTTCTTCTGTCAACATCCAATCTGCATTTGCTCTAGTCGTTGACGTCACTTCCCTCTTCCAAGTCACCTGGGAGTGCAAAAAGCGCAACATAGCACCCCTGGTAGGCTCTTCCTCAGCCCGAAAAAGAACACTTCGTTTTTTTTGTACTTTTTTTTCTCTCTCTCTATCAAAGAAAAAACGGCCGCAAAGAAGAAGTAATTGGAAAAATCATTGCCGTTTAGCGTGTATCTACTAAACTAAATTCTCGCTGAAAAGTTTAATATAGACCGATAAAAAGTAGTGAAAAAGTAGTGAATTTAAATAAATTACCCGACCTATCAAACAACATTAACCACCCACATAATGTCCCCCTGGACGTATAACTCACTCGCACAGACCGCATAAGTGTAGCTTTCATGGCCTTTTTCAGCGGAGCTGTTAAGGGCTAGGTTCCCCAGGATCGTGTCCGTGTATGTCGACACAAACCTACCTGCACAGCTACCGCCATCTATAAATGACGGCGGCAAGCACACAACCAGTACGGTTTCCGCCGTCGCTCGTAGATGGCGGCAACCTTTCCAGCTTTCATAGAAGAATGGATAGTTGGGCGCCGTTTGTGGGAATTCATCGTAGGAAACAGCGCGAAAAACAGACGACGACGACGAAGAAGCACACAGTGTGTCGAGTGCAGCCCGCTGTTCTTCCTTCTTCACGAGAGTGGAAAGGCTGAACGATTTTTTCGAAGCAAATCTGCAAGAATAAAAAAAAGTCGTCGAATCATCTTCCAGAGAATAAAAGAGTTCAATCGGCCAATTGAAATATATTAACACGGAGACTGGAAAATGTCCCTGTCTCGGCAGTGCGTCTAAACGGTGTATACGTTGTCAATCCGACTTTGGCAGACAGAAAAACGTTGGAGGAAAGAATGCAAGAAAAAACAGTTTAACAATGTACAAGTTCCAAAAACAGGACGTAAGAAAGGAAAAGGTCTTCGATCATTCATGTGAAACTTTGCTGTTCGAAACGAGAACGGGAGTGTTAAGAACAAACACGGATCGGGCTAAATTTCAAGAGTTAGACAGATTATGTGCCATGTGCCATCGTGATACTGGGACGATGGAACATTTGGTTTTGAAGTGCACGGCGCTTCGCCTTGCCCTCCCTGAACGGGTAACGGATCTGGTGAAGGCACTGGGTTTTTGTTGGTGAAGATGGAAGAATAAGGAGGTTAGAAGATTAATTGAAATTATCCAGGAAAAAACTGAACGGAGTAAAACTAACTAGTGCAGCTGGGGTGCCAGGCGGGGCAGAGGAAAATTGGGTCTCCCTCCCGCGTGTTTCCGGCCCAAAGGCTCAACCAGTGGCGTAGGAAGGAAGAAGAGGGTTTAGGGGTCGAACCCCCCCCCCCCCGCCCCCCCCCCCCCTCCCTTTGGTCACTGGGCCCGCTCGCTACCCTGCTCACGCAGTCGGTTTTGCACCGGGTACGGATCAAAGGGGGAGTGCGGACTATGAATGTTTGTGGGGTAGAAAATGCTCAAATAAAGTAAATAGTCAATATTTCTTCATTCATGCTTATTTGATGGGATGCGGAACTTGATCTCATATATATATATATATATATATATATATATATATATATATATATATATATATATATATAAACGGATATTTCGAAACATTTGTGGGGTGAAGGATGGCAGTTTCAAATCCAAGTATAACAAGCTATCCTCACTAAAATACACAGTTCAATCAAACCCAAGCGAATATAATAACGCGAACACATGGTGATAATATAAAACAATGTCAATGATGTAAGTAATACTTAATGATTTGTAAATTCAATTGCACTGTAAGCAATGGGTGGCGCTGCGCTAACACACACCTCATGCACTGATCAGAATTACGTGCTTTCGACTAGAAATTAAAGCGAATAAAACGGCAACTGTGACTATACTCTGTTTCACCTTATGTTGTACCGCAGCGAAGGCTAGAAGCGCGTGCTCATAACGTTGGCAAGCTTGTGCCGCCAAGATCTGCCCCAGAGCAAAGAGTTCGGGCTTGTAGCCTTTTGTGCGGTACATCATAAGGTGAAATAGAGTATAGTTATTTCAGAAAGTAATTTACAGGCTCTCTTGATCATCTCATTTATTCCGAGCGCCTACACATTAAGATGCAGCCGCCTGCGTTCACGGCAAAGAATATCCAGGACGTCCTCCACTTGAACTTCAATGTCGCGGTGAACATTCAAAAGCACTAGACCAAGCAGTCGCTCATTCGAAGTAGACGCTCTCAGATATGTTTTCAACCGTCGTAGTCAAGAGGACGAGTGCTCAGCTTCCGCCGTTGTTATGGGCAGAGTCGCTATACTTTGTTTCAGCTTCGGTCCGAGCGCGGCTGATGTTATGAGCCGAAGTGCCAATCAAACAACGCAAAAGCGCAGCGTCATGGCGTGCTCTCTGTGCTTGATAGGACTATTCCTCTGAGGAGCATGCTCAGAGAGACGGCGAATGCCGGCTGGTCCTGTCAACTGCAGGGAGCACGCCATGACGTTGTGCCTCTTTCGCTGTTTGATTGGTCCTTCGGCTCATAGCATCGGCCGCGCTCGGACCTAAGCTGAAACGATGTATAGGATCTTGAGGATGGACGTTTAGGAATAGGACCTCCGGACAGAGGGCGACCGCCTGTAGCGCAGACGTGACGGGTGTTTCACATTTCTACCTTTTTAAATGAACGCCTAAAATTTCCCTATTTTTGGCGAAGTTTCCCTCACTTCGTGCAATTTCCCTCCATCGAGACGCCCGTCTCTATGGTGGCTCACCGATGCGATGAAGCCTGTCTTGCTTTCTGCTTTGCATATCGAGGTGGCATCCGATGCAATTCCTTATTAGATTAATCTTTTCGTTGCACGAAACACCGGAAACTCCGAAGAGATAAGCTTCATATTCTTACTACGCATAGGTGGAAGGGTATAGTCAAGTTTGTTTCCACGCTAGGCGTGTGGTTTGCGTGTTTGTGTGTGGTGTGTCATGCCATTTCTTCGAGTGACGGAACGACGAGTTCGGACTGACGACTTCTCATCGCCCCGAGGATATGCCGCTGCTGCCTTTGAACCACACTGCAAGACAAAGCGGGCTAGCAAAAAATACCTTTTTTCCTTCGGCATCTGGTTCTGTGGCACGAATTTGGTAAACCTTTAATATATGATATATTTTGGTTTTGTCATTGTTGAGAATTACTTTCGCCCTATATATGGGCCATAGTGTTTCTGCGTGGACGGTTGCTCAAATGTTTCAACTTCGAAATTTTTTTTTTCTGGCTAATTTTTTTTTCTTTTTTTTTTTGTGTGATTGTATAGCTATCCTTGTGTTTGATCTGGCCTTCACGTGCTGTTAGTGCAGTGCTACCTCTAAAAGCGGAAGGAGTTGTGTGCCGTGAGGAAGCTTTTAAAAGTTAGTGGGCCGCAACTACGACGACAGTAAAATACTGAGCCACCACACAGGCCCTTATTCCTGTAAGTAAAGCCTCCGTTAAAAAAAAAAAAAAAAAGTCAATGCAGCTTTGCCCATTTTATCTCAACAGCGCCTCCCTAATCTTTGCGTGAGCGCCCGTACCGCCGAGCTCACCCTGCTTCGTCATTTGGGGGGGGGGGGGGGAAGGAGGGGGGGGGGGGCTAATGCCGTTGATCTGCCCCCCCCCCCCCCTCCCCAAAATAAAATACTGGCTACGGGTACGAGAGCCAATAAGAGTTTTGACGATACAATTTTGGCGCTTCTTGGTTGGGTCCGTCCGACTGGAGATCGTCGGCTGCGGTGGCGACCTAACGTGAAATGGAGTAAAGGATTGTGCGAAGAGTGCTTTTGCAAATCGAACGGTGCTGCGTCATTAGGTAAGATCCACGACATACTCGGCTGTCTTCGTAGGTTCCAGTCTCTATATACTTTAGACCCATATCGGGATCCACAAAGGAAACTAATCGCCGACGACATTGGACAAACTACGATAAAAACCACACACACACAAAAACACGAAATCAACAACTCTATCTTCTCCTATCTGTAGCGCTCGCCCCAGAATCCCCAGAAAAAAACAAGAAACGACCTATCCTTATCTTCCGTATTTGTTTTTTTTTTATGAATTATAATCGAGCACAGTGCACACTTCCCTGTTCCGATTAGGAAAATCCTAGTTTTGTTTGCCTGACCTAAGCCCTTATCAACTCATCAGACTTTTCAGAGAGAAAGAGAGAGAGAGAGAGACGCATGACAATTAAGGCGGTCGGAGT